CTTAAGTACTTTTGTATATTAAATACATCTTCAGAAGGTCATTTTACAGATCGAGTGATGGGTATAAATAGGCAGGAGAGAGTGGTGAAGTAAGGTGAGGTACAATACTTGGACAACGCAGAAGGCCCATTGGCCCATCAGATGCACCCAATTGGCCCATCCGATGTAGCCCAATGGCCCATCTGATACAGCAGACATACAAGCATAATACATAGGTAATTATAACATAAAGAGGTAAATATATACAATAAATTAGTGAGACAAATGTTTTTCAATGATTCTACTTAAATCGCCCTTTAGCTGATCTATTAGAAATGGATCTAAGTTATATAGACCACTGCTAATATTCAAATTACTTTCTTTGGTGATCTGTATCAAAGCGGATTCAATTATGTTTCTGTTATAGGTGCTTTTACAATTTGTTATTGAAGACGCACTCTCCCAATCAATTTGGTGAGCTTTTTCTGACAAATGCACAAACAAAGCATTAGATAATTGGCCATGTCTTACAGAGTATTTATGTTGCGATATTCTACATTATAAATCTTTAGATGTTTGCCCGACATAGAACTTATTACATTCCTTACAAGGTATTTTATAAATGACGCAATTATCACTACGAGGGCTGTTCCTTACTAATAGCTTACCAACAGTGTTTTCGTAGCTAAACATTACATCTATATTAAAAAGTTTCAAGGCCTTGACAATATTCTCAAACCCAGAGAAATATGGTAAACATAACACATTCTTTGGGCGAGTCCTTTCACTGCATACATTATTATAATATGTACGACGAGCTTTGTTACGACAAACTTCCAAAAAATTCAGTGGGTAACAAAGCTTAAGACCAATCGAATCAATATTCTTAAATTCTTCATCTAAGAATTCTGGACTCACAACTCGAAGAGCTCTTAGATACATTGAAGAAAAAATTGACTTTTTTACATTGTATTTATGCCCTGAAAAATAATGAACATAAGATAAATTGTTCGTAGGTTTTCTGTAAACACTAAACTTTAATGAAGAGTTTTCCCTATGAATAAGCACATCTAAGAATGGCAAACATTTATCAATTTCAGTCTCCATAGTAAATTTTATGGAGGTGACTTGGTCATTAAGTTTGGCTACAAATTCGCCTGTGTTTACATCTGAAGGCCAAATACATAAGATATCATCAACATATCTAAACCAAGGAATGATACCAGGAGTTATTTTTGAAACAAATTTCTTTTCAAAGAATTCCATGTACAGGTTTGAGAGCAATGGCGATAGAGGATTCCCCATTGCCATTCCAAAAGTCTGTAAATAATACTCATTATTAAAGGTAAATTTACATTCTTTAATGCACAACTTAACAAGACTGACAATAATATCAGCAGAAAGAGGTAAGTCATGGCTCATTAGTTCACGAGCAAGATAATCGAGAATATCATCGACCGGTACCTTTGTGAACAAGGAACAAACGTCAAAACTGATTAACTTTACATCAGGAGTGACAGGAACACTATTCAATTTGTTAACTAAATCAAGAGAATTTGTCAAATGAGAAGAGGAGATAGTTCCTAACAAAGGGGACAAGATTTTGGTAAGCCATTTGGAGAGTTTGTAAGAAATGGATCCCACAGAACTGATGATAGGTCTCATGGGATTGTTAGGCTTATGCGTCTTGACAAGACCATATAGATATGGTAATGAAGGTGATGAAGTAGTAAATTGATTAAGAAGATCTTTATGTTTACTTAACAACTTCCTCAAGCTACTATTGAAGAACTTGATGATGTCCTCAAGAGGATTTTTCCTAAGCTTAGTGTACGTTGAAGAATCTAGGAGGAGATCATTCATTTTCGAAATATATTCCTCCTTGTTTAAAATAACAATAGTGCTGGAATTTATCAGCCTTTGTTATATGAATGGAAGGATCGGCTCTTAACTCCTGTAAGCTTCGTCTGAATCTGGTAAATAGGCGAATAAATCGCCTATTTATACCCATCACTCGATCTGTAAAATGACCTTCTGAAGATGTATTTAATATACGAAAGTACTTAAGGAAATTTCCTGTTTCATTTTTCCTTCGTGGTCTGACATTGTCATATATATATATATATATATATATATATATATATATATATATATATATATATATATATATATATATATATATATATATATAACGTTGTTAAATATGACCGAAAAAGTAAGATTAATAATTCTAACACGAATTTTCTCAATATTTCTTATGTTTTTTTTTACTGTTAATGGTAACTGAAAAATCAATTCTCCAAAATTCATTTTAATTTCTAGTCTGACACGACACTTGAACGCGTTTCGTAATAACTTATTACATTTTCAAAGAATTTAGCTTACACTCACACAACTATAACCTGCAAACACTAAACAGAGTTTTACTATGCTAATATTTAAACAGCTTTTGTCTTATATACTCGCATTTGAGTGAGGTGATATGTTACGGTGATATGCCCGAAACGCTTTGCGTAATAGTGGCTTTAGGCATTGTATGTACTAGCTATACCTATAAGTTAAACAATCCTTGTAAATATTTATTGTATGTATGTACCTTACCTAAATAAAATTGTATTGTATTGTATTGTATTGTGTATTGTTACAACAGTTTTGGATGAGGTGAACACACTTTCAACACAAGACAGAACATGGTTCAATGGGTATAGATGAAAGGGAAGAATGGAAGTAACTGCAAAGGGCCTATTGGCCCATATTTCCTCTTGATGCTTCTATATTGGAGTGGAGTCTTGAAGTGGGTAGAATATAGTTGTGCATTAATTGGCTGTTGATTGCTGGTGTGGACTTCTTGATGTGTAGTGCCTCGCAGATGTCAAGCCGCCTGCTATCGCTGTATCTATCGATGATTTCTGTGTTGTTTGTCAAGACTTCTCTGGTGATGGTCTGGTTGTGGGAAGAGATTATATGTTCCTTAATGGAGCCCTGTTGCTTATGCATTGTTAATCGCCTGGTTAATTGCCTTGTTGTCTTGCCTATATACTAAGATCTTTGGGGCTTACAGTCCCCAAGTGGGCATTTAAAGGCATAGACAACGTTGGTCTCTATTAAAGCGTTCTGCTTTGTGTCTGGAGAGTTTTTCATGAATTAAATAGAATTGATTTTTCAATTACCATCAACAGTAGGGAGCCGGTCGGCCGAGCGGATAGCACGCTGGACTTGTGATCTTGTGGTCCCGGGTTCGATCCCGGGCGCCGGCGAGAAACAATGGGCAGAGTTTCTTTCACCCTATGCCCCTGTTACCTAGCAGTAAATAGGTACCTGGGTGTTAGTCAGCTGTCACGGGCTGCTTCCTGGGGGTGGAGGCCTGGTCGAGGACCGGGCCGCGGGGACACTAAAAGCCCCGAAATCATCTCAAGATAACTCAAGATAACCTCAAGTAAAAAGAAACATAAGAAATATTGAGAAAATTCGTGTTAGAATTATTAATCTTACTTTTTCGGTCATATTTAACAACATATGTTTACAAGAAAGACTGCTACCAAAATATACTAATATATATATATATATATATATATATATATATATATATATATATATATATATATATATATATATATATATATAATATATATATATATATATATATATATATTTCAATTTTCCTCCGTGGTCTGACACTGTCACTTTTTTAATCACGTGTTTATTTTCGTGATATACACACACACACACACACACACACACACACACACACACATTATATATATATATATATATATATATATATATATATATATATATATATATATATATATATATATATATATATATATATATATTGATGTATACTGGCAGCAGGTTTTCATTTATACACATTTCAGTGAAAATGACTGCATATTCTGTATTGACTATATTCTTGTTTAGGGCTTTTATCCCTCTGACTAGTGCTCTTGCATCTAGGTTTAATTCTTGGTTAAACAATCTCAGTATATAGAAAAGACAGCATCTCTTTCTAGGCGTCCAACAATTTTCCGAAAGGTTGTTGTTACTGCTCAGTTTCCATTTTGAAGGTGCCCACAACCTTATTTGCATACTTTACGTGCAGATATGCGTGCCGCTTGCCGGAGGATGGTGCATGGGGATCGCAGAGCCCTGATGGGAGGTGGAATGGCCTGGTGAGGGAGGTAGTGGAGGGGCGGGCCGACGTGGTGGTCACTTCCCTTGACCACAACCAAGCTAGGGCTAAGGCCATCGACTTTCTCTTTGGCCTCAAAGAGGTTGGGTGAGTCGAAGCTAAGACTGAAGAGTTCGTAATAGAATTTTAGGTTATAATAAGAGTCATGGGTTTAGAGATATAATTTATTTAGATTTTGGTCATTCTTTATTACCTTAGTATTACTGTGAGAAAAGATCGAAGTTTATTATACATATTTTCCAATTTCCTGAATAACCCATACACTACACCATATGTCACTTTATATAGAAAATTCGCAGGATTACATTGCAACTTATCACAATTGACATTTAGCACTATTGGAACAAAAAGATATTCATTCCGTTTCTGAATCGGGAAAATTAGCAAGAACTGTCATATTAATAGGAAAATTAATTTAGAGGAAAATAAATCCTATAAATTTTTCTATAAGTTACTTCAGAGGAAAATATAGGAAGCTTATCTCACACACCCCTCCCCATCTTTCCCTACAAACATTCTCCTTGTCTTTCTTCCCTCTCCGCCTTCCCACATTGTTGTAACAATCTTCAGTATGAACTTTATCACCGTAAACATCTTCACACTACATTTACCACCACACACCCTCCTATTTCTGCCCACACACACTTCTTCCCATATTGGCCCCCCCCCCCACAAACCTTCCCATGTCCTTCCTAATACACACCCCATCTCCTTCCCCTGTCCACACAAAACATTCCCCAGTCGCTTCCCTCTGTGCCTCCACGCGCCCTCCTCCCCATCTCTCTTCCTGCCCTAATATGCCATAATATATAACAAAACGCTAAATCCTCCATGAATGGAGGATCAGGATGCAAATCTGTCATTTGAACATGTTTTGAAAATCAATATCTGAAATAATTTTTTTTTTTTATTAACACATTAGGTACATCTGCATTAGTGCAGCTACCCTAGACTATATGAAGTGGAGTACAGTGTGTCAAAAAGCTAACTTGGTGATGCTAAATAATCCCCATCACACAGGATGGTTAGTCATATAGAGGCATGTGATAAGCAGTCTGCACTGGCAGACTCCGGATGCATTTTGAGGATATCAACAAACAAAATCATTATTATTTAAACTAATACTAAAGTCTATGGACTTGGGGCTGAACATTTCACATCCACAGACTTCATGGAGGAGGATTATTACTCATGTCCCTACTTTAAGCACTAATATTTTTAGTACATCAGCTTTTGACCTTAGGGAAAACTATACGTCAAAATAAGATGTACTATTCAGGAGAATGGGATGCACTTTTTGCGTCAGGTACCAGATAGTCGTGTAACCTTCCTAATAAAACGATTCTTCGCGGCACGGGATCGTATTCCAGGGACTTGCCCGAAACGCTACGCGTACTAGTGGCTGTACAAGAATGTAACAACTCTTGTATATATCTAAAAAAAAAAAAATAAGGTACTCACCCAGCCCCACGTGTGAGGTGCTGCATAGTAGACTGGGGGGACTATATAATAATGATACTCCTCCCTGAGGCAGGTACCGCATGGTGGTGAGACGTCCCGGGCTGGGGGAACAACCCTGGAAGAGTTTCACTGCTGAACTCCTGCCAGACGCTTGGCTCGGCACCATCGCCTTCGTGGTGTTCGTGCCGCCCTGCCTCGCCCTCTGTGCCTATTTCTCCCCCTTTGAAACGGAGGTGGTCACCCTCAAGGATGCCTACATAGTGACCATTGGAGCTCTCGCCATTCAAGGTAATTCCAGATGTTATACATAATACACATATATGTGTGTGTGTGTTAAGCTTGAATGGTAACCACACTAATATTACAACAGTAAACTCCAATGACCCTTCAAGTATTCGAGTCTAGAATGGCAGTGTGTGTGTGTGTGTGTGTGTGTGTGTGTGTATGTATTCACCTAGTTGTGTTGTTGTGTTTGCGGGGGTTGAGCTTTGCTCGTTCGGCCCGCCTCTCAACTGTCAATCAACTGTTTACTAACTACTTTTTTTTCTCTACCCACAACACACACACAAACACCAGGAAGCAGCCCGTGACAGCTGAGTAACTCCCAGGTACTTATTTACTGCTAGGTAACAGGGGCTTTCAGGGTGAAAGAAACTTTACCCATTTGTTTCTGCCTGGTGCGGGAATCGAACCCGCGCCACAGAATTACGAGTCCTGCGCACTCTCCACCAGGCTACCAGGTCCTACAGGCTGTGTGTGTGTGTGTGTGTGTGTGTGTGTGTGTGTGTGTACAAATAATTTTGGATGACAGGTTGGGTTATATATTACTTATGAGTGTAGACGCTTTTAAACTAGACTTAATATTAAATTAATACAATTCAATTTCAGCAGAATGACAGCAAATTGAAGAGCATAATGATAGCAAAGACAGTCATATTATGGGCTCCAAATATTACAGAAACAACGTTACAGCCATGTGAAAACTATATACACATAACTTAAAAATTAAAAATGAACATAGTTACAACACGGTCAGATTCATTTATAGTCTGACAGTGTTGTTTCGTTATACATTCGTTAATGTATAATGAATTGCCTTAAAGTCTGGACATAAAATAACAGTTCGACGTAACTGTAGTAACAGGGGAATCGTCATAGTGGATTCTGAAGAAGAAGCAGAAGTAATGCAGAACAGGCACACCAGATGTAATACATATAATTGAATCCATCAAACATTATAAATATGTGCAGTTAGGTACTGTATCTATACCTTAAACAGCATCTTTCTCTCCCTTTTTTCCCTTTCTCGTTCTCCACATCATTCTTCTCTCTCTCACCCTGTTCCCTCATCTATCTCTTATTCTCTCATTGTCTTTCTCCATGTCTTCTATTCCTCCTGTCTCGCCCTCACTAACCCCTGGGATTCTACCTATCTTCCGTCCCGCAGGTTCGTGGCTTGAGGTTCAAAGTACCTCGAGTCGCATCGTCTTCACCACCATCTTCTTCGCGACGCTGCTGGTGTATGCTTACTACACCAGTGCCCTCGTCTCCATCCTCACCGTCGCCTCCACCAACACCGGCTTCTCCAGCCTCCAGAGCCTGCTGCAGGATGGCACCTTCCAGTTCGGCTTCGCAACGGGCACGTTCCTCGAGGAAGAGTTTAAGGTACGCGATATCGGCTCTTGGAAGCTGATGTTGGCCTCATCTGTAGTGTTATTTTTAGTATTAAGTTATACCTTTGTAATGATTTATTAAATATTGCCGCTGAAGGTGGTTAGTTTATTGTGCACCCCATACTCACCCTGTGAGCGGTAGTTTATTGTAAACCCAATACTCATCCTGTGAGCGAAGTTTATTGTGCACCCCATACTCATTTTGTTGATGTGCATCAGCTGATATATAATGTAATGGATTGGTCAGTTGTTCAGCTGAGCCGGCAATGTGATTGGCTAAGTGCTAAGACGAACAATGTTACCTTCACTCTGATTGGTCAAACAAAAAGTAGTATGGTGATCTCTGTCGAGAATCAGGTGAACCACAACCAAACCCCCGAGTGTCTCGACAAGAACACCTTGTGAATCGAACCTAAGACTACTTAAGTAGTCTTACTACTACTTCTACTTAAGTAGTCTTAAGTATATAGAGTACTTAATACCTTCGTAACACAGTCACGTAAGAGTAAATACACAACGCATTGTGAATCTAGGTCTTTACTCCTGAGAACACCTGCATCCCTAAGACTATTATCACTCCCACAGAACGCTAAGCAGCTGCTCTTCAAAGAGGTGTGGCAAAGGCTGGTGGCCCCTGATCCATCTAATCTGGTTCACAGTCATCAGGAGGGCATCAGGAAGGTAAGGGCACCAAGAGGGCATAAGGTAAGGTCACTCCTCACTTCCCTTCCCTCCAAGGTACATTTAAAAATGTGAAGCCTACCTCAGTATTTACACACAGAGATAAGTACCCTGCCAGAGAGAGTGAAAGGTAGGGAGTGTGAAAAAGGGAGAGAGAAAGAGTGAAAGAGAAAGAGTGAAAGAGAAAGGGGGCAGAAAGAGAGAGGGCAGAGAGAGAGAGGGCAGAGAGAGAGAGTGCAGAGAGAGAGAGGGCAGAGAGAGAGAGGGCAGAGAGAGAGAGGGCAGAGAGAGAGAGGGCAGAGAGAGAGAGGGCAGAGAGAGAGAGGGCAAAGAGAGAGAGGGCAGAGAGAGAGAGAGAGAGAGAGAGAGAGAGAGAGAGAGAGAGAGAGAGAGAGAGAGAGAGTTTATTTACATTTTTACATTTCCATCAGTGATAAAAAATGAAAAGGACTTTGTAAGTAAAAATAAAAAGGACGCATTCCAGTCAATGTTTTAGCAAGCTAATCTCATTTGAATTTCAATATGGAAAAGTTGCAATGTTATTCTTCACCTGCCTTTCTCCCCTAACCTGTCTCTCTGGGTCTCCTCCGTACCTGCGTCTGGCACTTCCGCCCTCTATTCCCTCACTTGTGCTCCTCCGAATGCCGTCCCCCTTTGAATAAGTCTAAAGACTTTCTAACACTCCTATGTGTTATAGAATTCGTGGCTACAACACTGTCTCCACCTGCAGGTGATAAAGGAGAGTTACGTGTACATGATGGAGGAGAACGGGTTCCACTCCCTGCTGGAGGAGCAGTGCGAAGTTGTGCTTGCCGAGGGCCTTTACTTCTCCACACAAACTGGCTTGGCTCTCGACTTCGACTCCCCGCTCAAGAGGGTCTTTGATGCACAGTGAGTGTTGTTACTATGTATGGTAAGTGCATGCATACATGTAAGCTGAGTAGATGTATACATGCATGTGTGCATAGCGATGTAGGTAAATGAGTGCATGTTTTGTGTTTATTGATGTTGGTGTTTGTGTGTGATGTACGTTTTTATCCATGTAGGTGAATATGCAACCTGTCCTCCTATAAAGAACTTCGCTTTTCGCTCGTATACGTTACGTAAGGCCAAAAATATTACATAGTCCCGTTTTCTGTTTTGGGTACTCTGGTAGGTTAGGAGAGGACACTTTAAATGTTACAATTATTCAAGTGGTGGTCCAGAGTCATGAGCTATATCTCTCCACGGAGATGACACTCAGTAGGCTGCCTGTATGGCCTAATGTGCAATTATCGCAGAACTTACTCCCAGTCACTTGAGAATTTCGTAGCGTATTGAAAATAATCAGTCCCTATTAGATCTACCTGGCATTGATTGCTTGGATCTCCTCAAATTTCATTAGGGGTTTTGTAAGTTTTAATATATATATATATATTGGTGATGGTTAGGCTCTGTCCTACCACACGTCAATTTACACCTTCAGGGTAAGTTTTCTTATAAATGTTTCATTCATTATACAACAATATTCAGTTAAATAATTGTGTCTACCTGTATATTTTCTGAATTGTTTAAATGTTGATTATGGTAGATGTATGTTAAAAATCTCCCGATGTATGTTAAAAAGTGAATGATGAAAATGTCAAACACATTCTTTAGCATTTCATGATCATATGTTAAATATGATTAATATGGGAGAGTGTTTTTCCACAGGTGAAAGGTGTAGTATATTGCAGTACAATATATATATGTTGTTGTTGTTTTAGATTTAGCTGCTCAGAACGAAGTGTCCATGCAGCACGGACTATGGTGAGCCCGTAATTGAGTTCGGTTATTCGTGATAACCTTGTTTCTGTGATATTTGGGCCAAAGTTTTAAATGGAGGTGGGGATTCCTCCATTTTCCCGGTTTCTTTTTCGCTTCTGTTTTAGTGCACTGGTTTTAGTCTTGTTTTAATAACATTATCTTGGTGGCGGATGTAGCTGCAGAATGTTCACTAGTGAGTCCCATTCCTCAACGGCTTTTCTAATCATTGTAGTCGCGGTGGAATGTGCATCTAATGCAGCTGCTGTAATGTATGTACCTTAGTGTGGTATATACTGAGCTACACTGCAGTGCACCTAACCCATATTCCACTCGTGTGCACAACCGAGAGTGGAATATACTTGATGTCTGTCTGTAGCCCTAATTGCCACGATCAAGATTATTGAACGACGGCCATTGTGTGATCATATTAGTGTTACGGCCTAACGTAGCTGGTAACTCGGGTTGTCTTCGTCTCTTTCTATAAGGTCTTAGACCCTCTAATCTTCACAGATCCAACCCCCCAAGTTAGGGTTAAATTATCAAGAACTGAGCACTAATAGACAATCAGAGGGTAAGAGGGGGGAGGTAAATCAAAAATCAATTCTCCAAAATTCATTTTATTTCTAGTCTGACGCGACACGGGCGCGTTTCGTAAAACTTATTACATTTTCAAAGGGGGGGTGAGGTGGAAGGGGTGAGTGTTAAACAACACTAGAGAAATCCGTCATCAAAATGTAATTCCGTTATATATAAAATTAACTGTTTACAGGAAATATACACCCAGAGATATATATATATATATATAATGTATATATATAATATATATATAATATATGTCTACAGGAAAGACTGCTATATATATATATATATATATATATATATATATATATATATATATATATATATATACAACACTGAAGACACACCACGTGTCACTTTCACACAGGACAACACAAAAACGTCTGCAAATTTTTATCACGGTGAGTCATCCATCTAGCACACCACCCAGGCCTCCTCCTGTGTGTGCCCTTCGTCTGAGGTACTCACGCCTGCGAGTCCACTTTTCCAACAATTCACGGGCCAATCCTTCACTGTACTATCACAGTGTTTAAACACAACTCCAACAACACGCTGGCTGGTTTCCTCTCAAGGCTTAACCACTAACAAACTTTAACTTAGAGTACAGACTTACGTACACCCCATCTACGAACACAGCTGGGCCACCTGGGACACGTCATGCCATCACCGTCGTTCATGGGCTGCAAACAGATAATTTACTGCCTTTAATGATCAGGCCTTTTTTGTTCCGACGGAAACAAGTCTTGCGTTCTTCAAGACTGCCCTTGCTGGCCATTCGTGATGGAGACGATCTTCAACCGTCTCGTCTGGAGAGACGAGATCCCCCAATCCCTTCAATTGTCTGGAGAGAGGTCCCTCCCCTCTCCACGTCGCTGAAATTGTCCAATGGAAAGGCAAATGCCAATACATTTGGTTCCAGCGCCGTTGCAGGAGTTGCCAGATCGAGGTTGAAGTCAACAACGAACTGCCTTAGGGGCTCCAGATCCAGATTTTTCCTCGAAGTTGACTCCTAAAGCCCGTCCCACAAGTAGGTATGGCCGCGAGGCATCGGAGGTTTGAGATCAGGGTTTTCCTTCCCCTAGCTGCCTTCCAAGGCTGTAGAGCCAGAGGCACCTTACAAAATATACCGAGATATACAAACCAATTAAATCACAAACGCAATAAATTATGATGAGCAGAGATTCCTTCAGATGCTGCATTTGCATTGAAGACATTCTTACGATCAAAGTGAATCTCAACCTACTGTGTACTCGCCTGAGGAGGACCACCAACACAGGAGTCTCACTCGCTTGAGGAGGACCACTAACACAGGAGTCTCACTCGCTTGAGGAGGACCACCACCAACACAGGAGTCTCACTCACCTGAGGACCACCAACACAGGAGTCTCACTCACCTGAGGACCACCACCAACACAGGAGTCTCACTCACCTGAGGACCACCACCAACACAGGAGTCTCACTCACCTGAGGACCACCACCAACACAGGAGTCTCACTCACCTGAGGAGGACCACCAACACAGGAGTCTCACTCACCTGAGGACCACCACCAACACAGGAGTCTCACTCACCTGAGGAGGACCACCAACACAGGAGTCTCACCTGAGGACCACCACCAACACAGGAGTCTCACTCACCTGAGGAGGACCACCAACACAGGAGTCTCACTCACCTGAGGACCACCACCAACACGGGAGTCTCACTCACCTGAGGACCACCACCAACACAGGAGTCTCACTCACCTGAGGACCACCACCAACACAGGAGTCTCACTCACCTGAGGACCACCACCAACACAGGAGTCTCACTCACCTGAGGACCACCACCAACACAGGAGTCTCACTCACCTGAGGACCACCACCAACACAGGAGTCTCACTCACCTGAGGAGGACCACCAACACAGGAGTCTCACTCACCTGAGGAGAACCACAAACACAGGAATCTCGCTCGTCTAGTGTATCCAGGTCTTGTACCCATTGATGTGGTAGTTGCTGGATTTTTATAGTTTTTAGTGAGCAGTCTGCCACGTGCAAATTGGAGACATTGCTTGCAATTGCAGTCGGGAAGAAGTAATATATCCCACAAGTAACAATGATAACATTAAAACAACTTAAAACACGTTATAACAAGAGAACTGATGAAAAGAAGCAAGTATTTTCAAGTCTTTTGTATGCAGCAGTTGGACAGATCTTCGTCCACTACTTAAAACGCTTCAGCTACAAAAGCTCATCAGAAAATCCAAACAGCAACATTCCAATAGCTCCAGAATAGGCTGTTTATTTATAAAAAGCTTTAAATGTTATAAACACAGCATCAAGGACTTGAAGAGTTTTTCTATTATTTTGAAATTTGTTGACTGTATCACTCTGTATTGTATCGCCTGGTAAGCTATTCCAGATGTATAGATTTCTTACATGCCATATTGGAAGCAATCTCGGATATGGAAATTAGTATACAGACGAAGAGTCACAATAAAATGAAAATGTGTTGACCAAACCACTTACCAGAAAACTGAGAAACGACGACGTTTCGGTCCGTCCTGGACCATCATCGCTACTTGATAATGGTCCAGGACGGACCGAAACGTCGTAGTTTCTTAATCTTGTGATGTGTGGTTTGGTCATCATGGAAATCTGTCTCCACTAACATCTGGCATATATTGCATCTCTGGTATTTTCTTGCGTGTGGCTCCGGCGTCGAGGTTGATGAGGCTGCGGGACGGTGGACTTCTGAGCAGGTTGTGGCAGAAGTGGCAGCCTCCACCGACCCTGTGTACGGACCCGGGGGTCATCGCCCTCAACATGCGACACCTCTTCACCGCCTTCCTCCTGCTCCTGCTGGGGGTGGTCCTGGCCGCCTTACTCCTCCCCTGCGAGAGGTCAGCACTCGGTTCTTGTAAACTCTTACATCACTTCTTAGAAAGAATATGCAAAAGCAAAGGCAAATATTCCCAGTTAGTAATTTGTAAACTATAAAGAATATCAATTAATATCTTCACCTTTTGTTTATTTACTGGCACCTTTTGAGGTAATCAATAGTGTCATGAGAGATATATGGCATTAGATTATTCTTCTATTTAGTTTGTATACACAAATTCAAGTATGAGAAGATATCTGCATCTTTCTTATGACAATTCTAGTTAGGGTATCCAGCAGTACCTGGGTCTCTTCCCTCCTTCCTAACATTCCACTCCCCCTCTCCCTCCCTCTCTCTTTGTCTCTCTCTCTCTCTCTCTCTCTCTCTCTCTCTCTCTCTCTCTCTCTCTCTCTCTCTCTCTCTCTGTCTCTCTCTCTCTCTCTCTCTCTCTCTCTCTCTCTCTCTCTCTCTCTCTCTCTCTCTCTCTCTCTCTCTCTCTCTCTCTCTCTCTCTCTCTCTCTCTCTCAGAAAACATGCAATATTATGTTTTATCTGAAAAGCTGTGGTAAAACTCTCTGGAAAAACAAGACCATAATTTCAGAATTTATGCAAATCTAACAGAAACCGATCCTATATGGGGCCGACCCCAACCCACCTATGACAGTCCCCAGCACCCATGTGCCATCCTGGAAAGACGGACGAGACTAGACCCAAGCAGCTGACCTCCAACTTCGGACAGACAAACATTTGATTTCAATAGATTAACATTAATAGTTTGTTCTTCTCTACAGACTACACTGGAACATCATCGGCAAAACCAAGGCTGCTCGAGACAACCGGTTGAGACGGGAGCAGGGCAACTCCCGGTCAGAAATGGTGGGGGGAACCTTGAGGAACACCGGGCCATCTAGGGCATGGGTTGCTAACCACAACAGGCTGGTGGCCACCCTTCCCTCGCAGAATCACAAAGAACTCATCGCCATTAACCGTGGCTTTCGTACATACTTACGTTATTAGGGGCGGGGTAATGTGAAGGGTTTTATCATAATGATATTCCTCATAGGTTGCATTAAAATAAAGGTTTACTTGGGTATGCATACCTCTAGTGCTCTCTCTAGTATGTATATGTTCCAAGGGAGCTCTATTGACTAGCCTCACTAAAGTGAATGTGGAACATATACACACTAGGACAACTTTGGAACATAAATATACACTAGAGCAAACTTAGAGCATATAAACACTAGAGCATATAAGAACGTTCACAAGGCATTATTAAACAGTGGACGGCTCAGTGACGGTACTGAGTACTTACCTTCACCGTTCACGACAACACCTCAAGACTGGTCACTGTCACAACCTTCATACAACAGTCTTACTGTAGACACGTAATGACTGATGATCATACCACATGAACAAGCAGCTTGCCCAGATAACGAAGACAGCTTGGCCGGATCATAAAGAAGGCCAAGCTTGGCCGGATGATACAGACGAGTGCATGACACTAACGAGACAGGATTGAAGAAACGTAAAAAAGTAGAACGCAGTACTAAAACTGACAGCCATTGATCATTAAGACTGAACACACAGGATCGTATTCCAGTGTAATACATGCAGCCTTCAGAGTTATCAGAAAATTATTCATTTATGTATTGCACTATAAAAATATATTATACTTGTCATTGTTTGACAAGAATAATATATTATGAGAAAGAGGAGGCGCAGCAATCAGTGTAGAAGCCACCACTCCAAGGTAGCCACCACTCCAAGGTAGCCACCACTCCAAAGTAGCCACATACAAGTACAGAATTGCCCCAGGCAATAGCAGTTGGATTAAGGAGTCAGGTCACCAGCAGAGGTAGACTTGGGTCACCATGGCATGGCCATGATGTCACCAATCCATGTGACCTCCGATGACCTATAGGAAGTCCAGTATATCCAAGCTGACATAGTAAGCCGATCTCTGCTTGCCTAATCATGAGAAATGAAAGTTGGAAGCTGACTAGAGCGTGATCCCATGCCGGACATGTCATTCCAGCCTAAAATGCAGTTTCAGTAGGATGTGTGCATGTGATGTTATTGGCGAATAACAAAACCGCATTGTTTTGTCCTCAGTGCATCAAGTTACCTATTTGTCGTCAAATAACCTGCACGTGGCCGGAATCCCGCGGTGCAATTATTGTTGTCAGATGAAGTGAAATTGGTGGTAAAGTAGATTATTACGAGGGTGTACCCAGATGCAACAAAGTAGTGTGCCTTTTTCATCGTGAAATATCTAAGTCATCAGTAGAATTATAGTATGGTAAAGTAATGAGTGAACATTGTGTGTTAAACTGCAGTGCAGCAGTAGATATTCAAATCATGAAGTGCCTGTAACAAAAGTCTGAAGACGGAGCAAATAATTCAAGCCGCTACTCTAAGATTTCTCACTGGAACCCGTATAGCAACCTGTCCTCAGACCAAGTCCATTTGGTCGACCCCAAAGACACAGTCATAAATATTAACATGCTATTCATTCAAAATAGGAATTTTCTAAAATATAAATTAATATTGTTATATATTTGCATACTGTGCATATTTAGGCATTGGTTAGGTTATTTTATTTATTTATATATATATATTCAAAAAGATATATTGGGTTTACATAGCATTGATGTTTTTACATTCTTGCAAAGCCACTAACAGACATAGGGTTTTGGGCAAGTCCTTAATCTTCACGGCTGAACTGTATGTAATTTTGCTTGCTCTTCGTCAACTGCTTTCTCGCTGTAATTCTTCCTTTGTTGTTGTAGTTAACTCTCGCAGTGCCCTCATGGCTCTGCAGTTCTTTACTCCTGTCCTTCCTGTGGTCGTCGAAATTCAATATTGGCTGTTTCTTATCTCCAGCAGATGTAAGACAGTTAAATTTTGCTGGGTTAATAGCCATATTGGTGTTTCCTTAAATGAGCGTGCAGACGCTGCTGCTGAGGAAGCTATCCGCATCTGTCCCATCTCCTGTAAAGGTATTACTTATTTTGACTTCTACCCAGTTACTCATTCCTCCATCCTTGTCCATTGGCAGGGTCATTGGTCTTCTGTTACTGGTAACAAGATGCGTGCTCTTAAGGGTAGTGTGTCCCCATGGCCTTCCTCCTACCACCGTAACCGGCGGTGGGAAACGGCTCTGGTGAGGTTATATATTGGCCATACCCGCTTAACTCACGGGCACTTAATAGAGCGCCGCCCTGCTCCTTATTGTCCAAACTGCATTGTCCCTCTTACAGTCGTGAATATCCTTCTTGAATGTCCTGACTTCCAGGATGTGCATGTGTCTTGCTTCCCGACTGTCACTCACAGTCACCTATCCCTTGATAGTATCCTTGATGAATCGCTTTATGATGTTGTTCGCCTTATGCGCTTTTGTTCTCGTATTGGCATCCTTAGTGATATTTAGTGCCTTTTGAATCTCACGCAATTTTGACGGTGCTACATAGCCTCCCCGGCTTGGTGCCTTCTTTTGATAATTACTTACTTAATAGGTACATCATAGTAAAATTTGAGGATTATCAATAGGTACATTGTAGCATAATTTGAGGATTATTAATAAGTACATTGTAGTAAAATTTGCGATAAAAGGATGAAATATGTAGATAAAAGTTAGGTTAGGTGTTTAGGTTCTGTTGGCGATTATTTGTATTTATAATATGTGGGTGAAGCATTTACTGTGTTGTGGTTCGAACACAAGTCGTCAGCGAAGCACTTGTTCCGGAAGTGTTCAGACGTCATCAGTCGAGTCGAGTGTAAACCTGTTTTTCATTCATTAACAGGGGGTTTGGCGGGTACATGTAATGTACTTTGTCCTTTGTTTATGAGGACAGGCTGCGTGTAGCCGCTCATGTGAGAACCAATACAAGCGAACCACATGTAAAACTGTGTAACCAAACCAAGTGTGACACAACTGACCAGCCTGCATTTGTGAACCAGTCGCGACCCACTGAAAATGATGACCACTTGACCTACTCAGCATTCCCGTGAACACTTCACATGCCATCCCATCCGATTCTCGCAACATGTCTGCCACTTACCGCCACATGTGGGCATGATCTACGTAGATACCATATGTGGTCGATGTAGAGATGACCAGCACGAAAGCTACAAGACCAATGTATTAAGAAGACCAGCCATTCAGACCTGCGAGCTGTGTGAGTGTGTATGAATGTGAAAGACCAACATTACTGTAAGTACTAAAACTCTGATTAATTTGCTGTTATTTGTCTATTTTCGTGCTGATTATTGATCAGTCAGAGAATTACTCACCTCGTTTATCACCAGCAACAGGTGTAGGGTGTGTGTAAAGACAGACTCACTGTGAACAAGCAATTATCAGTGTTATCACATTCACCTGAAAGAGGGAATCCATATATTGACACACGTAACACATTTAGCATATATGCATGTTGTTGCTAATTGTGGATGTTATTAGTGTTTCCTGAGTATCTGGAAGGAGCTCCCATTATTCCCTTGTGGCCGACTAGTGATTGGGAAACCGTGTCTTATAACTGGTTGTCTTAGGAAAGTATTAAGACGGGATTGGCGACGAGGAACCACTTGATCGGTCAGGGAAGAATCCCAGAATCTCTTTGGTGTGATATTAGCTTTGACGGCACCGATACATAGCCTTCCCGTCTTGGTGCCTTCTTTCGTTAATTACTTTGATGACACCAAACCGAAAGTAACGGAAGCTCCCTGTGTATTAGTGCCTACGTTTGTATATAAATGTTAGTTTTACACCTGCGTTTCCGTACTTAAGTATACGTATATTAGTACTTATTTAAATATAAGTATTTACTACTTATTCTAATATGTATATTAGTACTTAAGACATATATCTTTATCAGTGCAATCACCTCTCAATATATATTGTAGTTATTTGTTGATATAAGACCTTGCTATAATGTACCTCTTCATCTTCCCTGATATGTTAGATTAAGGACCTGCTTGTAACGCTGTGTGTGTTAGTGGCTTTGCAAGAATGTGCAAATACCGATCTTATGTAATCTGTTCAACCCATTGTACCTTCTTGTGAATAAATTATTAATATTATTATAGACCCTTTTTTATACTGCCATGCCACTAAAGTGAAGTGCCCTCAGCACATAAAGCAAATTCTAAAGCTCCTGCTATATAAAGCCCCCACCCAATACATTCCATGTTGGAGAACCATTAGAGTGAAATTTTAACATTGAAGGACTACCCGCAATAAACATGATTCGAGAGAAGGCTAGGCCTTTCCATAAGGAATTCCTCACAGCAGGAACCTTACTCGATAGCAATCACCCTGATTCTGGCCACTTGCTCATGTCCTAGTCCGAGTTCGCATTGTTAAAGCAGTCTGCCATTGCAAAGTGGTGGTATTGCATGCAACAACGGCTAGGATGAAGTAAAATTAACAAGAAGACTTGTCGCATTGTCCTCGGCATTTTCCATGATGGCCTGTGATAATTCTTTTATTCCAAAGCCCTTAAGAATGTCTACATAATTTTTAACCTGTGATCCAACAAAAAATACAAAGTCCAGCTGGGACAGCCCAGTAGTGGAAAAAATAGCTGATGCCATGCTCAGCGCAGCAATATCGGATAAGGAGTAAGCCCGCCTCAGAGCGGTGGTTGCCCCCCATGCAGGAGACTTTCCTTTGGCAGTACCCATGTCGGCAACAGGCATGCGTCGAGATCCTGAATCCCTCCATGTAGCAGTGGCCCTTTGCCATGGTGCCCCAATTCACACTGAATACCAGTGTATTTGCAACAAGGTGGTAGCAGACCAATATGCGCTGCATGGGTTGCACTGTGGGAGCTCCATGGGCTGGCATACAAGACACGAGGTTAATACCATCATCAAGAGGAGCCTTGCCTCAGCTCAGTGTCCAGCAGAGAGAGAACCTTGCATCCCAAAACTTGGACGATCCTACACTTTGCCCAGATGGCATCATAATATACCTCTGGAAGAGAGAGCCAAACAGCTGGTGTGGGACTACTTGTATGTATCCACCCTTGCTGATACCTATGTACACTTCAGTGCTTATCAAGAAGGTGATGCAGCCAATCACAGGAAAATGGCAAAATCAATCGAGTACATGCAACTGAAAGGTCAATACGCCTATGTTCCCATAGCTTCTGAAATGCTCGGCCCCTGGGGTAGGAGCACTTTGGGCTTTCTCAAAGAATTGGGTTTCAGGCTCATTGACATCACCAGAGACCGAAGGGCTGCCAGTTTCTTGTTTCAGCGCCTCAGTATGGCGCTCCAGAGGGGAAACACCAGCTGCGTCCTCAGTTCCTGTCCGGAAGTGGAGGAGCTTCAAAAGATCTATAACTTTGATGCAGTCTATTGTATTAACCAATGTAACACTTGTAACCTTTAACTATCTAATAATGTAAAACAAAACACAAAAGAAAGGGGTGGGGGGTGGTAGGACTAAAGAACATAAAACTGCATTAGAGGGGACCTAAAAATCTTCTCTAATGCATTATGTGTGCATTTTTCCAAGGCTTTGGGTCCCAGTCTTCCAGCCAGAGGTGATATTATCTTTGTTCCATAATAATAGTAATGAATATTTGAGAAAATACCGATTCTGAGTACATAGTAAGTTCGGCCGCTGCTTGCACAAGCCTAGCCTGAGAATGGGTTGTCTCTGGAGAACAGTAGCTCGACAGATCGCCATGTTGACAGGCGTAACAGGAGGTCCACATTCAGAGCAGGAAACTGTCACTTTAAAACTATTTATTATATGATACATCATACAAGAATATTCAGAAATATAACAAAAATAACAGTGGCTCTGAGAGAGTAAAATCAATCATAACTATTTGCATCACACAAAGTACATTACACACAACTCTGCATACACGAGAATTATGAATATAAACTGGAAATATTCTATATACTACTTAACCATAACAGAGTAGATCAATACTCTAGGATGTCCCATACTCACCCTAGAGTATTGATCCACTCTAGGGTGAGTCGGAGCCTCACCCCGGGGACATGGTAATTGGCCAATCATAACTTAATTAGTCAGTCATCATTAATTTAACCGTTGAGAGCCTTCTGCTGGCGTTGGGTGAGCTCAGAGATCTCGGCGTCGGTGGTGGCGTCCTTCCGCTGCTTAAGGCTGGCGTCGCCGGCGGTCACACCCCAGTCGTCGGGCGCTGACATGGTAGGGCAGTAGGGCCGCCCTGAGGCGGGCTTCAGGCTCTCCCAGTAGCCTCTGTTCGCCCTGGCAGATTCAACAAGAAGTTAGAATCGTATATAATATGTAGTAAGTATAATTTTTTTTTTATATAAATGTTGTTTCGGAAAGATTTGTTGCCACTATTTATTGCAGCAAGTTCAAAATGTATTGATATGCGCTATAAACAAGCAGCTAAAAACTAATAATAAATATTTATGTTGTGGTATCTGGCAAGGCCAGAGGGAGCCGGTCGGCCGAGTGGACAGCTCACTGGACTTGTGATCCTGTGGTCCCGGGTTCGATCCCGGGCGCCGGCGAGAAAGCCGGCCGGCAGAGTTTCTTTCAACCTATGCCCCTGTTACCTAGCAGTAAAATAGGTACCTGGGTGTTAGTCAGCTGTCACGGGCTGCTTCCTGGGGGTGGAGGCCTGGTCGAGGACCGGGCCGCGGGGACACTAAAAGCCCCGAAATCATCTCAAGATAACCTCAAGAAGGCTCAGAGAATAGACTGAGAAAATTCAGAGGAACCGTGATGAGCATTCCATGGCTCCTGTGAACTTTCTCATCGATATCTCACCTTATTATGATTTCTCTGTGTATAGACTAGACTGACATTTCTTAGTTACTGAGTCCGCCTAGTTCCATGGTATTGGCTGTATGTTTAATCTGGCGTTGTGACCATCTTCAGCAGCACCAACTCTTTCGTGACCTGTTCTAACACTGGGTTCGCATCCCAATTTGCGTGTATTACTCCAGTAGTCTGATTTATGTTTTGTCTGATATATTTTTGACACAAGCTTGCATGTTCAAGAACCTTTCCCTTCCCAATGCTTATGTTAAGCCTTGCCTTACTAGCTCCCCATGAAACACGACCAGTCAGTTGTTTTACAGTCAGCTCCGCAATTACTGTTGGGTGAATAGAGGCGAACACTTAAAGACTGGTGCCCACTCAGGCTTCCGTGAGCAAGGCTCGAACCCCCAAACTTCATAGCAACGCGTCCGTACCTGGCCCTGACCCAGGGCTTGGTGTGCATCTTGAGCCCCGCCGCCCATAGCTCATGCTTCTCGGATGCCTTGGGCAGCCCCCGTCGCTCCTTGGCCAGCTCCTCCGCCACAGCTCGAGTGTGGTAGGGCTCGAACCCGCAACATCCACCGATGTAGCGCACACCGAGCTCGTAGGCCTCCCGTGCGTACCTGTGCATGTCCCACCGGGTGCAGATACGAGGCTCCAGGGCTGTCGGGGAGAGGGGATGGTTAATAATGTGGTGCCTAGGAAATAGGACAGGATAGTGACAGTAGCCTAGGAGAGGGGAGAGAGTAGTGACCAATAGCCTAGGAGAGGGGAGAGAGATAATGTGAAGTCTAGAAACAGTAACGTAATTGTAGAATCGTTGTGTCCGTCCCGACCTGTCACTTACCGAAGGGGAACTCTGGGAGGTCGATGAAGCCTTGCTTGTGGGCGTCAGGAGTGTGGAAGGCGAGGGGCTGCGAGATGAGGTGCACCTTCAGCTTGGCAGCCTCCAGAGAGTTCTTCATCTTCCTCAAAGCCTCCAACACCACGAAAGGGTCGAAGTGGCAGTTGATACCCACTGTGAATGGGAAGATGGCGGTGTTAAAAGATGTTTTTTTTTTAAGTTCATAGATATATCTGAATTTATTCGGCTACCCTAGACTACATGGAGAGCTATGGAGCTCTTGACCTCAGTTATCTTAGGTCAAGAGCTAGCCGTGTGATGCCAAGATTCTCATCCTGTCATTCAAGGACTTAATTGAGATCTGTTTGGCGCTTCCAACAAAATGTAGATGAATTTAGAGGATATTATTCACAATGTGAGTGTAGCTAATTTGCAAAACTCAAAGTATGTCATACCAGCATGTCTAAAAATAAATTTAATAATATAATGTTGTAGAGTATGAGCGAGTTCCTATTGATAGAGTTTACATGTAGGATGTCATGTCAGGATGGGTAGACACACACAGCAGATGAAAAAAGGGTTCGGAAGTTAATTGAGTTGAAGGGTTTTAAAGGTAACTAATAAGATATGAGTGTATATATTTCATTTAGATACTTAGCATTATATATGCTGTCTTTAATATAAATAATGATGGGCGAGGCTTCTGAAATTTTCATGAACGACAATTCTAAGGCATGTTTCTCCTTAATGAATATGGACAAACCTTCCAAAAACTCTATTGGAATTTTTTTCAAAATGGGTGAAGCTTTTTCTCCCTGCGGTTATGTCCGCTGAATTAATTCAGTATAAAGCCATGATGGTTAACTTTGCTGCTACAAGTTGCACAAGAATTATTACATGAGGGAAGAAGTGAACCTTCTTTCAGTATGAATTAAAGTTACATTCACAATCGACTTGAGAATGGTCTAGGACGGACCGAAACGTCGTCGTCCCTTCACCTTCTAGTGTGTGGTCTGGTCAAAGTTACGAGAGACCCAACATTTTCAGTTCTGCTCGGCAGCCCGTCCTCATTAACAAAGGTCAAATGCTCGTTAAATCCAACTACCAAACCCCCTCTTTATGAATGAGCAACTGTTTACACAAGAGTCACAACTGATGATCGAACATTTGTCAAACAGTGCTTCACTGACGACCCCTGTTCGAACCACAACGCTATAAATGCTTCACCCACGTACTTCAAATACAAATAATCGCCAACAGAACCTAAACACCTAACCTAACATACCCTTAACTATACACAGAATTCTGACATAAAAATATTAACTTATATATTAGAACAAACCTATTTCGAATACATAGTATGTTGAAATTGATGAATTATCTGGGGAAGACGGCCGCTGCTTTAACGAGCCTGGCCTGAGTACGGGCTGAGCTCGGAGATATGTTATTTGTTGTTATGTTCATAGTGTTTTACTATGACTGTGAGTGTTCCTAACAGTCTGAATGTTCTCAAATATAAATTATTATTATTATTATTATATAATAACATATTGTGCATATTTAGGCATAAGTTAGGTTAGATGTTCGGGTTCTGTTGGTTTGTTACAACTAACAGAATCGCTTGAGGGTGAGGTGCCCTCAAGTGATTAAATATAGCTTTTTAAATGAATTATTAATATTTAATTATATGTTGACGTAGGCCTATGCTAGGATATCCTAAATATAATTTATATTAACTAATGTTTATTCATTTATGAATTATTCCGGCGATGCAATTATACTTGATAATATTTCAAGGTATTGCAGACAGGAGGTCAATAATGAACCAGTTAGCCATCCTTGCAACACAAGAAAGGTCACACGTTAAGTTAATAAGATTCCTCCTGTTGAACAATCAGCAGGTGCGAAGTGCTCTCACCAACATGAGCGCCAGCCTTGGCCATCCTGACGGCGCACTCCCCGACGGAGACGCCGTGGAGGTCACCCTCCGGTCCGATACACATGGTGGCTACCACAGGCAGCCCCGTCTTCAGGCAGACTTCGATGGCCCACTCGATCTCCTCCACATGCTCGAAGTACTGAAGAACGAAGAGGTGGAGTGAGAAGTTGGCCCCTTGGTACAAATTGGTAAATTTACAGAGATATATACACACTCACATAATGCAGTGCTACGTTATCGGCTCCCAACCATGGATTGCGGGTTCAATACGTAAACATACCTCGGTGATAAGAAAATCGACTTTATTTTCAACAAAGACGTCGACTTGGTTCTTGAACTCTTTCTGGGTGTGCTCCTTGCCGAGGCCTGTAAGGGGTCAGAGAAGCGTATGAACAGAGTGGAAATAGAATAAGGTTGTTCAAGACTACCTCTCCATCCATGTCAAGTGAAGCTTATAATATAGGGTTGTGACCGATATATATATATGAACAATCTGGTATATAGTGTTCACTAGACAATGTCGGAAATTTCCGACACCCCAGGTATTAAATATCGGCATTATACGATAAATACGTTATGCCAAGATACTAATGTTACTAACCCCTTACATTATACGTTAGAATGTGTTATGCTAATATTGTTTCATCAATTCCTAGCGCAGCAAGAAAATACGCTGCGCTAGGAAATTAAAATTACTGATAATATTCGCATCCAGAGAAACGCCAAAAGTTTCTTACGGTCAATGGCGGATTCCTGTTTCCCTTTATTTTATGTAGTTAGATCACTAACCCTATGACTATTATTGTTTAGTTATTGTTGAGGTTATAAAGCAGTGAATAATGCTAACAAGTTGATTCAGCATTATTGGATTAACCCCTATTTTTGTTGTGTGCATAGAAAGTTTCCAAATGAATATTAATTAAACACAGTCCACTTAAATATACAGTCCGCTTAACTTTAAATAATTTAAATAAACAAATCAAATCCTGGACATTTCCCACAAGCTATCAGTGAACCCAGGTTGATGAACCTGGGGTCATTTCCCACAACCCATCCTCTTGAATTATGCATCGTACTTTGACGAATAAATCGTAGCGGCTCGCAAATTTGACGTAATGTCCCCGTTTTCTATTCGTGGGTCCTCGGTTAGATTAGAATCGGTCAATTTAGTACATCAAATTAGAGATAATGATACAATAAGAGACAAGATTTTTCAAACATTTTAAATGTATAAATACTGATTTTTTTCATAACATACAACAAGAACCAAATCCAGAGCAACAGGCTTTGCGTGAGCCTAAAATCAATGATAAGTACACAATGAAATCACATTAAAGTGATTTATCAAGGATAAAATCAGTAGGAAACCCTGATTTGGGCTTCAATGGAAGCCTCTGGACCCCTAGAGGATTCAGTTGAGGACACAGGACGCCTAAAAGATTCAGTTGAAGCCTCAGGAACTCTAGAAGATTCAGTTAAAGCCTCATGACCCCTAGAGGATTCGGTTGAAGCTTCAGGACCTCTAGAGGATTCGGTTGAAGCCACAGGACGCCTAGAGGATTCAGTTAAAAGCCTGAGGACGCCTAGTGGTTTCAATTGAAGCCTCAGGACCCCTAAAGGATTCAGTTGAAGCCACAGGACCCATAGAGGATTCAACTGAATGCCAGCTTACAATGCTTCTGACTATGTCCTGGTGTAGTGATCAAGGGTGCGGGTTCGAATGCACCTCATGCCTTCTACTGATTTTCTCAATGATAAATAGTTCAATAGATCATGGGGAGCAAGCAAGGTTGGTGAATGCCACTGACCAGAGAGGTAGGAAGGAGTCTGGGAGAGTCCCCCCGCCACCAGGGCGTCGCCTTCGTCAGCCACCTCCCGCGCTATCCTGCAGGCGGCGTCGTTGATGCCTCGACACTGTAAACAATACACACTACGGCATTATCACGCCAAGCTCTGCCTGATATCATACTCAGGCTGGGTCTTCTTTAATTTATTGGGTTTTTGTTATATTTTAGACTTAGTTTTAAGTTGTACTCTGTGAAATATGATGTGGAATCAATGAGTATATCCAGTGTTTGACGAGCTGCCTAGGGATTGAGCTAAGCCACTGTGGGATGAGGCATATGAGGGCCGTCTGAGGAAGAAGAAAGCCATGCTAGGTAGCCTGGGGTAGGAGAGGTCCTCTGATAAGAGAGGTTATGAGAAGTAAGCCTAGAGTGAAGTGTCAGGAGTGACAGGTGTCAAGAGCTCTCTTACCGTATACTTCTCACTGGAGTCGTTTCCTCTGTTTGCCAGCTTGTCGTCGGAGGCGTAGAAGGTGAAGGCTTGCATGACGTCCGCTCCAGCTCGGAGGAACTCCCGGTGCAGCTGGCGGACTGCAGGCAACCATATACACATTAATAATCCCCAGTAATAATGGGAGGACCTTGGACAAGCCGCGGGCTTCCTGTCCCCCTAGAGACCACTCGACCGGTAAATTCAGTAGAGGAGGGGGCAGAGGGCGTGCCCGTAGCGGATAGCCTCGATCATTGAATTTGTAAATATTTATGTTATGTAAACCCATCAAATTTGATGACCAAAGTTTGAATATATATATATATATATATATATATATATATATATATATATATATATATATATATATATATATATATATATATATATATATATATATATATATATATAAAGGAGTTACATATGGGTTACAAAGATGGTTGTCATAGGTTGTCGAGTTCCTTCAGCTCCTCAGATGGCGGGCAGGAACCCTGGATGCAGTGCGCATTTCCCCTCTGTATCGCCACACTGAGGCGCTGGAAAAGAAAGCTTGCAGCTCTCGGGTCCCTTGTTGTTTCAATGAGCCTAGAACCCAGTTCCTTCAAAAAAACTGGTAGCACTTTTACCCCAGGCGCCGAGCGTCTCAGAAGCAATGGGGACAAAATTGTAGTGGTGATCCAGTTCTCTATACTTACGGGATTTGGCTGCTTCCCTGTGGGTGGCAGCGCCACCTGGTTGTGCAACACTGAGGTTAATGTATATATATATATATATATATATATATATATATATATATATATATATATATATATATATATATATATATATATATATATATATATATATATCCAATTCTGCCCCTTCCTCACACTTACATTTCTCCCTCATCCCTGCCCGTCTCTCCCTCATCCCCTGTCCCTCTCTCCCGCGGTCACTCACCTGCTTCCGGGTTCTCGATGGTGGCCTCTGGGGTCCATGGCCCGGCCTTGACGTAGCCTCGCTTCTCCAGGGCGAACACGAACCCTCCGTCCCCTATGACCGGGCCCTCCGCCAGCCGCTCCAGCAGGCCCTGTCAGGGAGAGCCAGGTGTTATATGTAGCACCTGTGGGGCAGGTGTTATATGTAGCACCTGTGAGGCAGTTGTCAAGAGCTGTGAGGCAGGTGTTAGGAGCTGTGAGGCAACTGTCAAGAGCTGTGAGGCAACTGTCAGGATGTAACGGGGGGTGGGGGAAATAGCTCTATCTTGTCCATTATTCCACCCCCCAGTTAACTAACGAGGCCGGGGGAAACAGCTCTCTCTAGTCCGTTATCCCGTCCCCAGTTAGCTAACTATTCTAGAGCACTCCCAGAGATCCTAAGGCAACCTCTCTCGTTCAACACCTTGTAACCTAGGTATTTGACTACCTAGGTGCTAAGACTACAAGGCGCCGTCACTTGATCAGTTACCCGAAACTCTAGAGAGAACTCTAGAATACAGAATCATTGCCACAAACGTATAAGAGAAAACGAGAGGAAAGAAATGAATAGTGAAGTAATTAGTGAGGGTTCGGGGTGAGAGGTAGGGAGGTGGGAGGAGCGAGGAGGGTCATTAGTTGAAAGTGAGAGTTTAGAGAGGGGTGGAGGGAGAGGTGTAGATAGGTAGAAGGAGAAGAGTAGATAGTAGAAGTAGAAGAGTAGATAGTAGAAGACGAAATGCTGCCACCATCCATTCATGATCATTACATACAAGACAAGGAATGGAACTTGCCTGTATCAAAATATTCTCAAAAGATGTTATTACCATGTATCAACTCCAAACATGTACTCATTTATATCATGAAACCAGTAACCACAGAGGCTTTCTCAAATCCTCAACTCAAAGCTCTAGGGAACAATGTTAAACACAATTTAAATAATAAATTCATAATTATATTTTCACATGAAGTATCATAATTTAGCAATTCAATTAAAATGTTCCAGTTTAATATGCAAAGTGAGTCATCATCCAAGAATTCGAGAACCCTACAACTTGACTGCCCCTGATCATCACACAACATATGTAAACACGACCAAGTCACCTTACTGCTCAACTCACCAAGTGTCTCTGCCTATAGCTGGATAGAGAGGGGGGGGGGTCTGTAGTTGACAGAGACTCCCGCCCTGCCGGCCGACAGCCTCCCTGCTAGGGCCGTCTCCTCTGCTTCTGTTGACTGCCGTTCTTCTGTCTCGTTAATGCTACATGCTGGATAGCTCTCCGAGTTTATATTGGGGAACCTAGTAGCTAACTCCGCCCACAAGTAGATAGCCTCCGGCACTCTACCAAGCCACTCCTTAAACGTCGGCATGTTTGAAGGCTACCAGACTACAACTAAGAGATTATCAGAAGCAAGGTGAAATTCGCATGATCTGACCTCAGGTCACTTGAGGTCATTAACGCTTTGAGGTGTGAGATCTCAGGCAGACAACTGGCGCCTCTCAGATCCTTGTCTGTGACTCATGTACTCTATGTATGTATTAAACTAAACCAAACACTTTACAGTGTTACAAGGAGCTATGAGGCAGCTGTTAAGTAGTTGTGTAATATACAGATTAATCATGAATTTATGTAACCTCGTATGTGAACCCATACATATTTCCTCAATTAAAGTGGCTTTGTTTACAATTATTAAACCGTTTACGGTATCGAAACTTCCTAGTCCAATGTTGTTATTGTTATAAACAGCCTCCTGGTGCTTAGGAACTTATTAACTGTTTAAAAGTTGTAAACAAAGGCGCAATAGATTGAGAAAAGATGTACAGGTTAGTGAATACTTGATGTTTCATGGTCTTCCCGGCTTAGTGCCATCTTTTGATAATTATTTACTCGCTGTTAGGGCCCATGGACCCCCTGACCCCCTCTTGTTATGACCCCTTGTTCAGTCGCGACCATTTTTTAAGTCACGATCGCTGTTAAGTCACGACATCTCGTAAGTCACGATCTCTCGTAAGTCACGACGTCTCATAAGTTACGATCTCTCGTAAGTCACGACCTCTCGTAAGTCACGATCACTCAAATTATGACTTCTCTCAAGTCATGACCCCTCTTAAGTCATGACCCTTCTTAAGTCATGACCCCCTCTTAAGTCATGACCCCCTCTTAAGTCATGACCCCCTCTTAAGTCATGACCCCCTCTTAAGTCATGACCCCCTCTTAAGTCCTGACCCCCTCTTAAGTCCTGACCCCCTCTTAAGTCATGACCCCTCTTAAGTCATGACCCCCTCTTAAGTCATGACCCCTCTTAAGTCATGACCCCCTCTTAAGTCATGACCCCTTTTAAGTCATGACCCCCTCTTAAGTCATGACCCCTCTTAAGTCATGACCCCCTCTTAAGTCATGACCCCTTTTAAGTCATGACCCCCTCTTAAGTCATGACCCCTCTTAAGTCATGACCACTCTTAAGTCATAAACCGTTTTAGTGGTTATCTGTCACACTTCATGATGGAAGTTTCTTAATGCCCGGAATTACCTTTATCATTACCTTAATCATTAAGGTATAGTCATTCAGTCAAGTCATTGTCTAGTGCGATGACCAAAACTGCAAACTACGCGGTAATCAAAGACTCGCCTCAGAACGATAAGATATCGTTTGAATAATAGCACTTGAGCTTAAATTACTAAGTACGAATTACTCCAGGGTACGAACTCTCTAGTACATTACTGAGATGATTCTCTACATTTACTGTTTGGCTTTGGCACCGAGGAGGCCTGGTCGAGGACCGGGCCGCGGGGACCCTAAGCCCCGAAATCATCTCATCTCAAAGGAGGCGGAATGACGAGGATGTAAACACAACAGCCGTGAGGGGTAACTATAAGAAGTATACACTCTTGAAGTATACACTATACAAGACGTCTTGCCAGTATACATACAATGTCCGTAGTCTTAACACAGGCAGCCTCTGTTAAACCTAAAGCTGAAAATCTATCTTAAATATTACTATATGACATGTATGGACAATATTAGGCCTCGGATAGCGTGTATTAGGCCTAGAGCACACCTCTCTGGTCGACTACAGTGATCCACCACACCTCTCTGGTCGATTACAGTTATCTACCACACCTCTCTGGTCGACTACAGTGATCCACCACACCTCTCTGGTCGACTACAGTGATCCACCACACCTCTCTGGTCGATTACAGTGATCTACCACACCTCTGGTCGATTACAGTGATCCACCACACCTCTCTGGTCGACCACAGTGACCCCACCACACCTCTCTGGTCGACTACAGTGATCCACCACACCCCTCTGGTCGACCACAGTGACCCACACCTCTCTGGTCGACCACAGTGACCCCACCACACCTCTCTGGTCAACTACAGTGATCCACCACACCTCTCTGGTCGACTACAGTGATCCACCACACCTCTCTGGTCGACTACAGTGATCCACCACACCTCTCTGGTCGATTACAGTGATCTACCACACCTCTGGTCGATTACAGTGATCCACCACACCTCTCTGGTCGACCACAGTGACCCACACCTCTCTGGTCGACCACAGTGACCCCACTACAACTCTCTAGTCGACCATAGTGACCCCACCACACCTCTCTGGTCGACCACAGTGACCCCACCACACCTTTCTGGTCGACCACAGTGACCCCACCACACCTCTCTGGTCGACCACAGTGACTCCACCGCACCTTTCTGGTCGACCACAGTGACCCCACCACACCTCTAGTCACTGAAGTCGACCAGAGAGGTGCAGGTCACAGGTGGAGGCATGACTGAACAGAACTATGAACATTATCTCTCAAATAGCGCGCATATCTTCCGCGATGCACTGACACTCTAACATGTAAGTTTTCTTCTTGTAATTATAAATAGAAAAATAATTTGCATAAATTATATTACACTCATTTTCCCTGACACTTGGCGCGGCTGCCCACGGAGTGTTGTGTCGGGTGGACATCATATCACCGTGGGATCTTATATATAAGATATTATATGTAATCTTACTTATTATTATTATAAGACACTCAATAATATGAGTACACACGAGTTGATAATGGTCCAGCACGACCCTAAATGTTGTCGTTTCCTCATCTTCTGGTGTGTGATTTGTTCATCATATCTTCAGCCACGTTATTGTGACTCATCGTCTGCATATATATGTATTTACAGCTAGCTTTCTAGCTGTAATGTAATCATATATCATTTTTCATCCGATTTCATAAAACTCAAAACAACGTGATCAATTTTTTTGGGTCATAAAATGTCAACACATTAAACAAAAAATTCAACCGACTAGCTAGCCTACCTTTTTCGGCGCCATGATGTGTGTATGTCTGTCTGACCCTCCTGTAGTACCACTTGCTTCCTGCCGCCGACGCTGCCGTTAATAGAGAGACACCAACGGTTGGGTCTCGTTATATTTATACCCCCTCCTCTTCCCCCCATCCCTCCTTCTCCCCCGCCACTCCCTGCCACCTCCCTCCTTCTCCCCCACCACTTCCCTACACCTCCCCTACCGCCATGCTGGAGCTGCAAAATGTATTCGCTGTCGTATCTTACTTTTTATTTTATTTCGTTTGTCTGTGGCTACTATAAGACTGAGGCCATATTTTATATTTTAGGTAGAAAGCCTTTAAAAGCAAATTTATGTGAAATGGAATATTTGCAGATGTTTTTGCTTGTTAATGACTTGAATTCAGAGTCAAGAGATATCTTATACGGCATACTTACTCTGAAGCTTAAATAACTACTTACATATAAACTTCACTCATATGTATCTCCCATACATAGTCACCCAGTACTCAAAGTATTCAAACGCACACGACCCTCCTACATACACTATACACGTCGCTCACACACACACAGACAATTGACAGGGAAGATAAGGATAAACTGTTTAACACGGGTGGTACGCGAACAAGGGGTCACAAGTGGAAGCTGAGTACCCAAGTGAGCCACAGAGACATTATAAAGAACTTTTTCAGTGTCAGAGTAGTTAACAGTAGTTAACAGCCTAACAGTGTTAGGCTGAGACCATACACAGTTTCAAATGTAGATATGATAGAGCCCAGTAGACTCAGGAACCTTTACACCAGTTGATTGACAGTTCAGAGGCAGGACCAAGGAGCCAGAGCTCAACCCCACCGCAAGTACAACTAAGTGAGTATACACACACACACACCTTGGGTCCTCGCGGCTGAGTGGACAGTGGTTTGGGGTTGTAGTCCTAAGGGCCCCGGTTCTACCCCCGGCAGAGGCAGAAACAAATGGGCAGAGTTTTTTTCACCCTGATGCCTCTGTTACATAGCAATAAATAGGTACCTGGGAGTTAGGCAGCTGTTACGGGCTGCTTCCTGGGTGTGTGGGGGGGTGAAAAAATATAATCAGTTGATTGATTGACAGTTGAGAGGCGGGCCGAAAGAACCAGAGCTTAACCCCCGCAAGCATAACTAGGTGAATACAACTAGGTGAATACACACACACACACACACGCTTATAACTTGGTGCATATATTAACCAGTTCTGGTGGTTAATACCACACCGAGCTGAAGTCTCCTGAAGCTCACAAGCGGAAAAAAATCTAATTTTTATGTTACTCTTATCTTATAAACTTTGATTCAAGGATTGTTAACATGTATAGAAGTCCTGATTATTAATGATAAGAAATGACATTTGAGGTTGGTTTTAATATCTGGAAAATTCTGTGGTATGGAAATAGGAAATATAAAAACTATCAGTTATCAAAGTGGTGCTCCAGAGAAGGTTTAGAGTTTCAGTTATGTACCGCTCAGATCCTTATTGTGAACACTCATAGTCTGATTGGTAGAATGACGGGCTCATTTTTTGGGGGTGAAATCTCCGATGATCCAAGTGATTGAAGCGTTATTATCCAAGTTATTGTGGTTTGAAGCTTAGTTTGGGTAGGTGCCCAACATGGGTGCGTTAGGGTTGGCACTTACCCATAGTTGGCACTATGGGTAAGAGTACAATGTGGCTCAGTCTAGTAGCGAACCCCATGACGAGTCTTGAACTATCAGCTCAGTTCTGAAAAATATATTAAACAATAAAATTGTTCTCTCTATACCATGAAATATGTGCACTGATGGCAAAACTTTTACAAACATTTTAGTCATAATACTTTGCTTTTAGCAAAGAAATTTTGATGAGGTAGATTTTCATAGTCATTAGCTCCCACAGCCGTGCGGATCCATGCATCTACCTCCCACAAGTCCCAAACGAGTGTGTAAGCCTAATGTCTCTTAGCTAATTGAAATGAGGATGTTGTACTGTACAAGGTCTCGGTATTTGATGGACTTCTGGGTTTCACTGAATGAAGCAGAATCACCACCTGTGTCTCTGCTATACTGGCCCCTGTGTAGTTCCACACTACTGTTTACTGCCCCCTCCAGGGCATCAATGTGACCCCAACTGAATACTTTTGTCCCTGGTCTGCACCGTTGTGATTCTCATATCTGACAATAGGCTGTGACGAGGCTCCTCTTGATGTCATTGGCTTTTTAGTGTTTTGAATGTTTCCTCCTTGACCTCTGGCAGATGAGACTGTGGAGGCTATATTGGTCTGCTACTTTGTTGCTGCAGATATCTGCTACATCTATGTTGACTGAGGATAAGGGCAAAGAGCCATACAAGTGCGGAGAGCCCGCCTTTCGAGCAGTGTTGGCTGATGGTAAATTAAAAATCCCTAGCATGAGGGGCTATTACAAATAAAATTGAACTGCGTACATGCTTAAATTAATTGTGGGGTATTTCACTGAATCTGTGTTTGATCTTTTCGTGAGTCTGTTCCATCCCACCAACTGTCTCCATCATCTAACTTCATTGTGAACGCCATGTGATCCTCTGAACTGATCTGATAGAAACTTCTGTACGTACTCAGTGGCAGGAAAGCACATTGATGTCAATGACAGCAGGGGTCCACTACCACTCACTTGAGGGGCATGGGGTCCACTACCATTCACAGGAGGGGGTATGGGGTTCACTACCACTCACATGAGGGGTATGGGGTTCACTACCACTCACATGAGGGGTATGGGGTCCACTATCCCTCACAGGAGAGGTATGGGGTCCACTACCACTCACAGGAAGGGTATGGGGCCGACTACCATTTACAGGATGGGTATATGGTCCACTACCACTCACAGGAGGGGTATGGGGTCCACTACCACTTGCAGGAGGGGGCATAGGGACCACTACCACTCGCAGGAGGGGGCATAGGGACCACTACCACTCACAGGAGGGGCATGGGGTCCACTACCACTCACAGGAGGGGCATAGGGTCCACTACCACTCGCAGGAGGGGGCATAGGGACCACTACCACTCGCAGGAGGGGGCATAGGGACCACTACCACTCACAGGAGGGGCATGGGGTCCACTACCACTCGCAGGAGGGGGTGTATAAATTTATACAAGTCATTCTTAACCAACAGTAAGCTGTATAAATAAACTCGGTATTGTGTGGCAGTAGTTATCGCGCCTGAGGCATGCTGGTGGCCGGCCCCGCCCCTTGTTGGTGGCCGGCCCCGCCCCCTGCTAGAGCAACTCGCTTCCACGCCAGCACTCTATTTTCACCTCCGAGCTGTGTAATTTGCTTTTCTCGTTTACTCTCTGAGTGGCGACGACGATGAGTGTGGTGACGAGGCGCCTGCAAGGTGTCCCCGGGCTGCGTCACGCTCCCAGACCTAGCATCTGTGCCCAGAGGCTCTCCACGACTCGTAAATGCTTCAACGTCACTCTGTAAGTGTGTCAACGTCACTGTGTGTCAACGTCACTCTGTAAGTGTGTCAACGTCACTGTGTGCCAACGTCACTGTGTTTTAACGTCACTGTGTTTTAACGTCACTGTGTGCCAACGTCACTGTGTTTTAACGTCACTATGTGTCAACGTCATTTTGTAAGTGTGTCAACGTCACTGTAAGTGTGTCAACGTCACTGTAAGTGTGCCAACGTCACTGTGTGCCAACGTCACTGTGTTTTAACGTCACTGTGTGCCAACGTCACTGTGTTTTAACGTCACTATGTGTCAACGTCACTTTGTAAGTGGGTCAACGTCACTGTTTTAACGTCACTGTGTGCCAACGTCACTGTGTTTTAACGTCACTGTGTGTCAACGTCACTGTGTTTTAACGTCACTATGTGTCAACGTCACTTTGTAAGTGTGTCAACGTCACTGTAAGTGTGTCAACGTCACTGTAAGTGTGTCAATGTCACTGTTTCACCGTCACTCTGTAAGTGTTAAGATCTGTATTTTATTGTGGTAGTGACAGTTTATTTGGCCACCTGTCCCACCCCAACACGTGGCCACCTGTCCCACCCCAACACGTGGCCACCTGTCCCACCCCAACACGTGGCCACCTGTCCCACCCCAACACGTGGCCACCTGTCCCACCCCAACACGTGGCCACCTGTCCCACCCCAACACGTGGCCACCTGTCCCACCCCAACACGTGGCCACCTGTCCCACCCCAACACGTGGCCACCTGTCCCACCCAACACGTGGCCACCTGTCCCACCCCAACACGTGGCCACCTGTCCCACCCCAAAACGTGGCCACCTGTCCCACCCCAACACGTGGCCACCTGTCCCACCCAACACGTGGCCACCTGTCCCACCCCAACACGTGGCCACCTGTCCCACCCCAACACGTGGCCACCTGTCCCACCCAAACACGTGGCCACCTGTCCCACCCCAACACGTGGCCACCTGTCCCACCCAACACGTGGCCACCTGTCCCACCCCAACACGTGGCCACCTGTCCCACCCAACACGTGGCCACCTGTCCCACCCAAACACGTGGCCACCTGTCCCACCCAAACACGTGGCCACCTGTCCCACCCAAACACGTGGCCACCTGTCCCACCCCAACACGTGGCCACCTGTCCCACCCAAACACGTGGCCACCTGTCCCACCCAAACACGTGGCCACCTGTCCCACCCCAACACGTGGCCACCTGTCCCACCCCAACACGTGGCCACCTGTCCCACCCCAACACGTGGCCACCTGTCCCACCCCAACACGTGGCCACCTGTCCCACCCAACACGTGGCCACCTGTCCCACCCCAACACGTGGCCACCTGTCCCACCCCAACACGTGGCCACCTGTCCCACCCCAACACGTGGCCACCTGTCCCACCCAACACGTGGCCACCTGTCCCACCCCAACACGTGGCCACCTGTCCCACCCCAACACGTGGCCACCTGTCCCACCCAAACACGTGGCCACCTGTCCCACCCCAACACGTGGCCACCTGTCCCACCCAACACGTGGCCACCTGTCCCACCCCAACACGTGGCCACCTGTCCCACCCAACACGTGGCCACCTGTCCCACCCAAACACGTGGCCACCTGTCCCACCCAAACACGTGGCCACCTGTCCCACCCAAACACGTGGCCACCTGTCCCACCCCAACACGTGGCCACCTGTCCCACCCAAACACGTGGCCACCTGTCCCACCCAAACACGTGGCCACCTGTCCCACCCCAACACGTGGCCACCTGTCCCACCCCAACACGTGGCCACCTGTCCCACCCCAACACGTGGCCACCTGTCCCGTCTAGACGACAGCCAATAGCCGCCCGACGGCTGGTGTGGGGGGGGGGGGGGGGGGGGGGGGGGGGGGGGGGGTAGACAACATCTGTTACCTATATATTTTCCATAAATTCCATCGTGCTTCTAGCCTAATTAAAGTTAATTAGAATAAGATGTTTGAAGGTTTTTCAAGTATCAAAGTAATTAAGTACGATGCTTTTAACAAGAAAACGCAACTGAAGGGTCGTTAGGAGCTAGTTACAGCCAGATCCATCCAGTGAGAGCGGTTATATCCAGATACTAATATATTTCTTGAGTCTTCACATAACCGCCGTGGTGAAGGAGATAAGCTTATCTTTGTCTCATGTTATCAGACAAGTAGGGTGAATTTACCCGAGGGTATTTTTTTTTTAATAATGAAAAGCATTGTCTGGCTATAAGCGGATTTATCAGGAGAACGCACCGAGCCATTAAGACTGTATAGCACTAGGAAGGGGGTCAGGATAAGGATTTGGGATGGAACAGGGGAAGGAATGGTGCCCAACCACTTGGACGGTAGGGGCATGTTCAAGTTCAAGTATGTTTATTGAGATAAGCAAGAAATACATCTCAAAGGGATAGAGTAGCTTAGGCTATTTCTACCCCCCCTGGTAGGGGCATGAACGCCAACCTGCATGAAGGTCGCTCTACCGTCCAGTGCAAGTGGTTGGGTTTATGGCTATAAGTTCAGTTTGTGTAGATCGTTTTGCAAAGCCTCAATTTTTCACTTTCCACTTTACTTTAGATCTTTACGCCATCTGAAAATTTGACGCTGTTGGTCGTGATTTTCTCCTCCATCATGGATATATATTTGAGTAATGGCTGAGCCTAAGATGGAACCTTACAGAGAATCCACTCACAATATTGTTTCCAGTCAGGTTTTCTTCAAAATTTGGACCAACCTTTGCTCTTTTTTTTAACCTTTGTTTTACTCATTCTAGTATTTTGCCATTTATTCCATATGCCTGCAGTATCTGCGCCTGTCTTTCGTGTGGTACCTTATCAAAAGCTTTAGAGCAGACTATCAACATCTGCTCGAGGTCCTAGGTCCGTGTAGGTGGTTACCTAATTTGCATGTTCTCACAGGAGCATTATCAGTTGATGGTGGTTAATTACTGCTGGTTCGTGAGGTGGTTAATTTCTGCTGGTTCGTGAGGTGGTTAATTTCTGCTGGTTCGTGAGGTGGTTAACTTCTGCTGGTTCGTGAGGTGGTTAATTTCTACTGGTTCGTGAGGTGGTTAATTTCTGCTGGTTCGTGAGGTGGTTAATTTCTGCTGGTTCGTGACTGCATCTGAAATTTGGTGAGACAACTTTGTTCTTATTTTACTTGTTCTCTTTATGCGTGTTTCCATGTTTAAGGGGGCATAAATGTTGTTGTGAAAAATATAAAGAAAACGTCAATCAAAATTAGAGATATGCCAAATTCCACTCATGAAGAACACAACATATTCTCACAGGATGAGAATGTCTTAATAACAATAATAAAGATGGTACTCAACTAGCCAATTCATGAAGGGGAATTATGTGTTATAAGTGATAAGAGAAAGTACAGAGGTGATTTAATTTATTTGTCATTATTTAACTATTAATATATTTAAATATTTATTCCTCAGTGACATAGTTCATCATGACTGCAGTTCTATATTTTAGGCAGAAGAGGCTTTAGTGTTGTGTAATGTGTTCAGGAACTGGGCCCCAGTCGTCTTTAATTTAAATTTTGCCCGGAGAGGCGAGTTTATTGGGCAGCGCCACTCATCCTGTGAGTGGTCATACCGGTCATGTACAACACTCCCCAATAGGAAGAAAACCCGCTGGGTTGTTCATCCTGTCACTTGTACCCAGACACAGCTGGGACTTGCTTAACTGTCTCAAGTGAACAGCTTATCAAACAAGAAGATTAATATTTGTCAACCCTTAAGTACTTACTTTATCTTGCGGGTGCAAAATGGGGCAATGTTTCAAGAGCAGTATTTATATTTGACAAATTAGTATTTTCCTAACTCAAATAATATGGGGTTTATTATTCTTTACATATTTCTAATGTCAGCTTTAATCTAAGCAAGTTACATTTGTGTTGAGGCCAAATTTACAGTACTTTACAGGCAGTGTTGCAGCGAGGCAAAACATTTTGTTTTCTTGTTTAAACACGTTGATTATTTCTTGGTGAAACCCGCCGTGAGACATGTCAGTTACTTAATTTAGAAACTGTACTTGTGGTCGATCTCGCACCCTTGATGATGTGACGACTCATACTGAATGTTGTAACTAGCTCATCAAGATTAAAACTTGCTTAGCTAAATGAATCGTGGGGTTCAGCCCCTGAGCCCATTATGTGCCTCTGTAACCCTGTCCACTACCGCCCACAAGATGGGTATGGGGTTCATGATAAATGAACTAAGCTAAACTAGACGTTGTGTACAGCAAGGCAAGCGTGAGGCAGCAGCTAGTGAGTGTGTTGGGTGGGAGGAATTTAAGACTGAATAAGCTGGTGACCTTGAGAGTGTATTCGGGAAGTGTGGCCGCTGTGTTGCTTAGCAAAGCTCACTCCTCCTTCCTATAAGGTCCGGACGACACCCCAGCCATGTACCCTACGTCCCCAGGACGTCTACCTCTTAGCAATACCTCTGATACCCTACGCCCCCCCCCCCAGAACCTCAGCCTCCCAGTAACACCCCAAAACCTCCCTACGCCCCCCAAAACCTCTACCTTCTAGCAACACCTCTGTAGAAGTTATCATTATCTGCTAAAGCAAATCTGACCAAACATGAGAATTAGGGAGCTACCTAAAACCTATTGGCCCACACGAAGCAGCGCCTATTCATATCCACCCAAACTCATGGCTAATCTTCTCTAGAAACAATCCAGCGATGCCACGTCCATTGTGTAATTTGTACATAAATCTACAACCCCCTATTTCCAAACCAGTATTTACCCAGGTCTTTCTTGAAACTAAATTTACTTAGCTTATGCCGAGTGTTGCATGCTCTGTTTTCTGTTGATAGATTTAGCACATTAATATCTCCTTTGTTATACCAATTGATCCATGTGTACACTCTGTCTTTCTAGAGAATGTTAAATTAAATTGAATATTACATCTAGGTAATGTAAATAAGTGCTGAGGATGAATGCCTTTGCCTTAGAACCGTACATTTGTGAGCCTCAGCCTTAGAACCGTACATTTGTGAGCCTCAACCTTAGAACCGTACATTTGTGAGCCTCAGCCTTAGAACCGTACATTTGTGAGCCTCAGCCTTAGAACCGTACATTTGTGAGCCTCAGCCTTAGAACCGTACATTTGTGAGCCTCAACCTTAGAACCGTACATTTGTGAGCCTCAGCCTTAGAACCGTACATTTGTGAGCCTCAGCCTTAGAACCGTATATATGTGAGCCTCAGCCTTAGAATCGTATATTTGTGAGCCTCAGCCTTAGAATCGTATATTTGTGAGCCTCAACCTTAGAACCGTACATTTGTGAGCCTCAACCTTAGAACCGTACATTTGTGAGCCTCAGCCTTAGAACCGTATATATGTGAGCCTCAGCCTTAGAATCGTATATTTGTGAGCCTCAGCCTTAGAATCGTATATATGTGAGCCTCAGCCTTAGAACCGTATATATGTGAGCCTCAGCCTTAGAATCGTATATATGTGAGCCTCAGCCTTAGAACCGTATATATGTGAGCCTCAGCCTTAGAACCGTATATATGTGAGCCTCAGCCTTAGAACCGTACATGTGTGAGCCTCAACCTTAGAACCGTACATTTGTGAGCCTCAGCCTTAGAACCGTACATGTGTGAGCCTCAACCTTAGAACCGTACATTTGTGAGCCTCAGCCTTAGAACCGTATATATGTGAGCCTCAGCCTTAGAACCGTACATGTGTGAGCCTCAGCCTTAGAACCGTATATATGTGAGCCTCAGCCTTAGAACCGTACATGTGTGAGCCTCAGCCTTAGAACCGTATATATGTGAGCCTCAACCTTAGAACCGTACATTTGTGAGCCTCAGCCTTAGAACCGTATATATGTGAGCCTCAGCCTTAGAACCGTACATTTGTGAGCCTCAGCCTTAGAACCGTATATATGTGAGCCTCAGCCTTAGAACCGTATATTTGTGAGCCTCAGCCTTAGAACCGTATATTTATTTTTTATTTTTTTTTTGTGAGCACTACATTGCATCTGACGATTTTTCGACCATTGTAAAAGCCTATTAGATCGTCACGAAGCGATTTTATGCCTTCCACTGAATTTATTTCCCGTCCTATTGCAAGTCTAAAGGCCATAACAAAACCTGAAACAGGCTGACCGTATTATCAGGCAACATCACCGTGACAAGATAACTGAGGAAAGGAGGACAAAAGCACAAACCAGTGAATCTGTACGCTGGTACAATGTGGTTGCAGCTGGCAAATCCTAATTATTATGGTCGAAGAGGAGGTAGCCGCAGGAGGGAATCAACAATAGTAAGAATTCATCTTGGATACAAATATCCATGGCGATTCGGGATGGAAACAGCAGCTGTGCAGCGGAGTTGCAGAATTTGTGGTGAGAGCGACGGACACCGCCTTGAACACTACCTGAGTGAACGTGAACATCTGAGAGACATTAGAAATGTGTGTAGCATAGTAGACCCCCCACATTGTTTGAGTTAGGAAAATACTGTCTGTCAAATATAAATGCTGTTCTCAAAAGATTTCCCCTTTAACACCCACAAGATAACGTAATTTTTTAAGGGTTGACGAATGTTAATCTTCTTGCTTGATAAGCTGTTCACTTGAGACAGTTAAACAGGTCCCAGCTGTGTCTGGATACATGTGACAGGATGAACAACCCAGCGGGTTTTCTTCCTATTTGGGGTGTGTGTACATGCTGCTATGGCGGTGTCTACCTCACAGGATGAGTGGCGCTGCCCATAAACTCGCCCCTCGGGGCAAAAATTAAAACTACGATCAACAACCCAGATGGCTTAACATAAGAATCTTTTGGGCCACGTTCTTTAACCCACTGTGTAGCTGTATAGGCATTTCGGCGTTGCCGGAAGCATGAGTATGGAATCCACAATAAACTAATTAAACTGAAATAAGAAGTAATCAGGTTTTCTTCCAATGAGAGGTGTGGGGTTGATAATGTTTAATTAGCTCTGGCGTAGAGGTGAATGAGCTCAGCGGGGTCTCAGAGATAAGATGTTTACATCTTACATGTATCACGACAAACAAACCAGTGTTGTGAAGGCTCAGGCAGCCAGTATATACCGGTTGTACCGGTTGTACACGGGTGGCCACGGGGTTGGACTCAACCTCCTGATACCCGCCTGCACTTGGATGATCTGGTCCAGTCCCCCCATACACCCAACACATCCTCCTCTACCGCATTCACTGAAAAAACTTATGCATGTTGAAATTAATCTAAAAAAAAAAATAGAATTATATATTAATTGATATTATAACCACTCTTTTAAGCTTTCAATAATTTCTCTAGGGGTCCTCGCGGCTGAGTGGACAGCACTCTAGGGAAGTATTCCCAGTGGCCCGGGTTCGATCCCCGGCGGAGGCGGAAACAAATGGGCAGAGTTTCTTTCACCCTGATACTCACCTAGCAGCAAATAGGTACCTGGGAGTTAGACAGTTGCTACAGGCTGCTTCCTAGGTGTGTGTTTACTAGTTGTGTTTTGCGGGGGTTGAACTTTGTTCTTTCGGCCCGCCTCTCAACTGTCAATCAACTGTTTACTAACTACTTTTTTTTTTCCACACCACACACACACACACACATCCCAGGAAGCAGCCCGTGACAGCTGACTAACTCCCAGGTACCTATTTACTGCTAGGTAACAGGGGCACTTAGGGTGAAAGAAACTTTGCCCATTTGTTTCTGCCTCGTGCGGGAATCGAACCCGCGCCACAGAATTACGAGTCCTGCGCGCTATCCACCAGGCTACGAGGCCCCTTGTGTGTGTGTGTATGTGTGTGTGTGTGTGTGTGTGTGTGTGTGTGTGTGTGTGTGTGTGTGTGTGTGTGTGTGTGTGTGTGTGTGTGTGTGTGTGTGTGTGTGTGTGTGTGTTAGAGAGAAATATATGTAGTAGACATAACAAAGATAAAATAAGTTGGTTAGAAAGGCGGGGTCCAAGAACTAATAGCTCGATTCTGCAGATACAAAGAGTAAATAAACACACTATTCACTCACACTACATACACCCTAACCTCCTACATTCTCCCGACTATACACACATCCCACTATACACACCCCTACAAGCCTCTATACTAACCCCCATTTACACCCTCTACGCACACCTACACTCAAATCTACACCCAACTCTGACACACCCCGTCCTCCCTCCCTCCCTCCCCGCTCCATCTAACCAAACCCTCCCCTCCCCATCAACCCTCCCCTCCCCATCAACCCTCCACCACGTAACCAATATCCATATTTTATCGCTCTCTACAAAAGAGAAACATTTACACACGTGGAGTGTGGCAGGTGTTTGAGCGAGAGGGGCGAGAACATATGTGCATCCAGCACTCCCCAGCGTTGGTACTAAGCTACATGGACTTACTTGAAAAACTTATAAATATAAATGTTTATATATATATATATATATATATATATATATATATATATATATATATATATGTCGTACCTAGTAGCCAGAACGCACTTCTCAGCCTACTATGCAAGGCCCGATTTGCCTAATAAGCCAAGTTTTCCTGAATTAATATATTTTCTCTAATTTTTTTCTTATGAAATGATAAAGTTACCCATTTCACTATGTATGAGGTAAATTTTTTTTTTATTCGAGTTAAAATTAACGTAGATATATGACCGAACTTATCCAACCCTACCTAACCTAACCTAACCTATCTTCATAGGTTAGGTTTTGTTAGGTAGCCGAAAAAGTTAGGTTAGGTTAGGTAGTCGAAAAATAATTAATTCATGAAAACTTGGCTTATTAGGCAAATCGGGCCTTGCATAGTAGGCTGAGAAGTGCGTTCTGGCTACTAGGTACGACATATATATATATATATATATATATATATATATATATATATATATATATATATATATATATATATATATATATATATATATATGTATTCTTTCTATATATATATACGTATTCTATATATATATACGTATTCTTTCGTATACACCTTATATAAAGCGAAGTTATCACACTCGGATCTCAACCGATTGGACCTGGGTTCGATACCCGAGCAGGTGATATGTTTGGGCATATTTCCTTACACTGACACTTCTGTTCACCTAGCAGTAAATTGGTACCTGGGAGCTACTTAACTGTTGTGGGTTGTGTCCTAGAAAAGGTCAGTATGTGACTTGTTTTTTGCAAATTTGACTTTTCCAATGTCGGGGAACATTTTTTAGTAACCGATTCTACCTGAAATAACCAAGCCCAACCTACAAAGGTAAGATTTGGTATTTTAATACGTTCAATGTGGTAGTTTGTAAATGATGTTTGTGTTAAACAGCAAAATTCGCAGGATTCAACTAGTTATCACCCGACATTATAATTCCACCCTCTGTTAAATTGTCCTTATGTGCATTTATTGCTCATGCATTTTGTATAATTCTGTAATTTTTTTCTACATGAAATCAAAGTGCTTTGATATTGCCAGTAAAGACATGTAAAGTTTAACTAAAAGAGTGTCCACTTTGCAGCGCGAGCGGAGAATGTCCGGACATCGCGGAGACTGTGGTGGTGGGCGGCGGCATTGCGGGCACCAGCGTTGCTTATCACCTTGCAAGGCAGGCCAGTACATGATAACCCTCAGTGGACAATTATGTGTATGTGTGTGAGCGCTTGAGGGTGTGACACCTCGCTAGCCTAGTCCCCCCATAAACACGGCTGTTTCAGTAGAAAATGGGAAAGTTATATACACAATTCTGAATCAAACCGAGATTGTTGACCAAACCACACACTAGAAATTGAAGACACGACGACGTTTTGGTCCAATCCTGGACCATTATCAAGTCGATTGTCCATTATCACAATCGACTTGATAATGGTCCAGAACGGACCGAAACTTCGTCGTCTCTTCAATTTCTAGTGTGTGGTTTGGTCAACATTTTTCAGCCATGTTATTGTGACTCCTCGTCTGCAAACAGATTCATAAATAAGGCTCCGCCAAGCTGGCGGCGTACTCTGGGACGAGAAATTGACCTCAGCACCTGCCTATTTCCTTAATGTTAGATTTACATTTTGATTTTATCATTACTCACATTCAGTTCACGGCTCATAATTAGTGAACTCCAGTCCTCGACACTCACATGCTAATTTGTTTCATGCTCACAACCGACCCATACACCTCCTTTAACTCTCACAACACGTATATACTGGCCAGAACAGCGTATTCAACAGGAATTGAAGGTTCACTTATTCTTAAGTGTGGGTCGGAGTTGGGTTCGTTAAATATTGACTTGTAGAACGGTGGTGAGCAGTTATCGACGGCGTAAATCATCGAATACCTTAAGATTTTTGACACTAGAGAGCAACGAAGGGTCTTTCAAGAGTAATGGCGTCGAGCCGTCCTTCCCTCTGACTCCCGAGTCAGAGAAAGAACTATAATATTTACAAATTGGGGGCTCTTAAATTCTAATTCTTTATAAATCGAACTAATACCACCAATTCGATGGATTAATAAAGTATTATTTAATTTCACCATTCTATTTTAATAATGAGACTTAAAGGAAAACAACTTCACCCATTATTATTTTGGAGTTATTTATAGTTAAAAATCCGTTAACCTTAAATGTGGAAATTATTTCCTACAGCCTCCACCACCCACACCCTACCTCCCTCAACCATAATCCACCTCCACCCCCCCCCCCCCTCAACTGGTTAGTGCTCTTGTGAAGTACACAGAATCACACAACCAGCACTAAGACGTAATGAACTGTGCCATCCCTTGACAGGGCCAGGAGGGAGTCGTCCTGCTGGAGAAGTCAGAGTTGACAGCTGGCTCTACCTGGCACGCTGCCGGCCTCACCACCACCTTCCACGGAGCTGTCAACATCAAGAAAATACATTACTACAGGTGACCTCTGAGCAGAACTAAACTCTACATTGTTATTATGTAATATATCCAACATTACAGTACTTACACCCACTGTGGCCGGAACGTATATAAATGTACACAAAAAAGGACCATGTTTTGCACTATTAATTTTGTATAGGCCTAGAGAAAGAGGGCAACAACCAAACCTGAAATTTCGTAGGTCTAGTATAGCAAATATATATTTTTATTAAATAAGCCCTAATATGGATTTTAGGCCTAAGATTGCTTATTAAGGCCTAGAACGTTTTAGCTAACCGTTCCTATTTCACTTTTTGACAATCCACTCTGAATATTTCAATGGAATATAAAGTGTGTACTTTTTTGGGGGGTACAACAATCGATTTTTGTACGTTCCACTCAAAGTTGCTCGAGATACTATCAATTTTGGAGGATAGGAGGCAATATTACAGATTATATTTAAATAAAAATAATTATTTTCAAACAGCGGACATGATTTGAAGAACATTTCAATTGTTTAACAAGTTTGGTGAAAACTGGTTGAGGTGTTTGTGTTTCAGTGTGAACATGTACGCTGAGCTGGCCAGAGAGACCGGCCAGGAAATTGGGCTCCACCTCCCGGGCTCCATCCGCCTCGCCACCACACCTTCGCGAGTCGACGAGATGAAGTGAGTGAACACCACACCCTCCGTATGGTTTTATGTGGCCAAACATTTTAATGATTTTATATTTTCTGATTATTTTATTTGTCTGTATGTCAGTGAAACTGCCGCAGGTACCAGATGTCCCGTCATGGATGCCACGAGGCGCCACAGTGCCTCCTGACCCCCCAGCAGGTCAAGGAGCTAGTGCCCATCGCCAACGTTGATAACGTGAGTGTCAGTGAAGGATTATTTTGATTATTTGTTATGGAACTTATATACATATACCTGTGGGCTTGGCTCCCATACCCGTCCTGTTAGCGTTAATCCAACAGCTGTCCTGTGGGTGTGGATCCCATAGGCTGTTAATTCCGTGTGCTATGGACCCCCATTCCCGCCCTGTATGCGGCAATGGGGTCCAAATGATCCTCCCCTTTTCCGCGGTGGACCCCCCACCTGGCTGTGGCTGAAAGATTAGTCACATAATGGGTTCAAAATCTGGCTCGCAATGTTCTTTAAGCTAGCCATTGACATTCGTGGCTTCCCCTTTGGGGGGAAGGCGTTATCACCGCTAGATAAGATGCTTGCTGATGAAGATCAGATCCTGGCAGTCTCTCATCTCCTCCACAACACGGACGTATTAAGCACTAGAGATAACAGATTCTTTAAGCAGAGTGAATATAAAAAAAAGAGTATCTCAACTATATAGGGGTGCACCGTATTTATTTAGAAAACAGTTTATTTTATAAGCAATATTGAAGAGTGGAGCATATTAGTGTATGTGTGTATATGGTTTATGTAACTGCTGTACCATGGTGTGTGTGTGTGTGTACCGGCAGCGTTGCATGTATGTATATGTATATGTATATGTATATGTGTATATATGTATGTATGTATATATATATATATATATATATATATATATATATATATATATATATATATATATATTATACATATACTCTCTGGTGGCGTTGAGCAAATGTAATGAGCAAAATTATAATAGATTCTGTATAAAGTCAATTGACTTCGCACTCATTGGTGTTTTTTCCAATTTTTTTATGCTCTTTACAGTATACAAACATTTATACATATCACAAATCTCAATAATTTTCAAGGGCTACATAATTTTCAAGGGCTACTACATTCCTTTGTACCGTTGACCACATTACAGATTCTGATGGGTCTATACACCGCTGGGGACGGCCACGTGGACCCCTACTCCCTCACACAAGCTATTGCGAAGGGCGCCCGCAGGTATGGTTACAGTGCTGGTTACAGTGCTGGTTACAGTGCTGGTCACCATTGGCTCCAGGTATGCATGGATCGAGAGGGAATTCACTGAGACACGTGGGGATCCAAGCCGCTAGGACTCTTAGTTTTGCTGAGCAAATACGAGCAACTACGATATGTAATATAGAGCTAGTAAGCGCTATCTCTGGTACCAACACTAGCCATAATAGACAGGTAGTAAGCACAATTTCTAGTAGTAATATTAGCCAAGACAGACGGCTGGTAGGATAGTGGTTGTTCTATCTATCACCCACAGGTTACCATTTTAATATGGACCAGAATCCATAATCCATCGTGTTAGACGAAGCTATAATCTCGGTACTGTGTTGTGTTTAGTTTATTTATTGGTACAATATATACAGAATGGTTATTATCCATCAAACAGATAGGAATCATCATTATGGATCACATGTAGATTACAATCATCATTAGGAATCATGTATGGATCAAAATCGTCATTAGGAATTATAGAATTATACATGGATAAGAATAATAATTAGGAATCATTCGTAAAGTAGAATTATTATTAGGAATCATACATGGATTAGGATCATCATTCGGAATCATACATAGATAAGAATTATCATTAGGTATCATACATATATATCTGAATTGATTCTTTTCCGGAACAGATGAGAACTTCTTTGATGATCATATCATTAAATACTAAATGAAATATAGTATATCTATGAAAAAAATCCCCATCACACAGGATGGTTAGTCATACAGAGGCATGTGATAAGTAGTCTGCACTGACAGACTCTGGGTTCGTTATGAGGATATCATCAACACAAGAGTGAATAAGGCAGCAGTGATACTAAAAGTTCCCCATCTCACAGGATGGTTAGTCATACAGAGGCATGTGATCAGTAGTCTCCACTGGCAGACTCTGGGTTCGTTATGAGGATATCATCAACACAAGAGTGAATAAGGCAGCAGTGATACTAAAAGTTCCCCATCTCGCAGGATGGTTAGTCATACAGGGCCATATGTTTAGTAGCCTGCACTGGCAAATTTTGGGTGCACTATGAGGATATCTTCAAGAACACGAGAGTGAATAAAGTAATTGCAAAGCTTTTTGGCATGGTACCTCATACCAACTGGTCTGAAAGGTCTAAGAACTGGGCATTCAGTGATGTAGTGTGGGAGATCATGCCGCAGTTTCTGCTCACAGAGTTTGCACCTGGAGTGCTCAGGATTGGGAGATTCGTCACCTGTAGCCACCTGCCACAAGTGGCTAACCCAACCTGATCCTGGCAACCACTGTGTCGCATAGTCTGGTGTACGTTTTCTGCTGCCCATAGACATAGGTTTCAGATCTGAACAAATCATTGCTTTTTTATACTAGTGTTTTCAGGTCGTTGGGAGTCAGTAATTTCTTTCATATCAGACCTGAGTGTTTGGACCAATATAGTTTTGACAGTAGAGATGGGGATACCTAGATCTAATTCAACTTCATCTTTGTTACACGCTAATTTGGCTGCAATGTCTGTCTCATTATGATGGGTTATATTTATGTGTGATGGTATCCATACAAAGGAGATTCGAGACCCTTTGCTCTGTGCAGCGATTAGGTCATTTATAATTGGTAGTATGAGGTTCTTGCTGTCGATCTTCCAGGAAAAGTTTTCGATTGCTTGAAGAGCAGACTTTGAATCACAAAATATTATTCCTCCTCCAGTATTTTTTAATGTACTAGTAGCTAGTTGTAATGCCGCTAGTTGTGCTTGTGTGGAGGCTGTTTAACCTAACACTGACAATCTTTGTGCAAATATTATTTCTATAAAACCTACATGGTGCTGCAGTCCGTCCAATAGAAGATTGGACTGAGCCGTCGGTGTAGACACAGTGCTCGTGAGATCTAAAATTCTCGATGGAGGAGGCAATTGTTTCGAGTGTGACAGCTTTGAGAAGAGCAAGATTCTCATTACCTTTCTTGGTGACAGGTGTGTATGATACTTGAATGGTGGGGTACAGATAAAGAGGAATATCAGAGACAGGTAGATTGCACTTAAAGGGATGTTGAGTTTAATGAGATTGTAGGCATTGTTACTCAGCCATTTATCATAAAAGGAGTGAGTTGATATGTCGGCACCAGTCAATAGGGTGTTAACAGCATTAAATAATTTGTTTCTGAGCAATGCAGGAGATGTTGGGTCTCTCATTTCTTGAAGGCAAAAGGTCGTGTTGACTTGCATGATTCTCTCTAGTATGGTTGGAAGCTTCAGTTCTTCCCTCATGTTGATGATTCTTGTGCATCTTGGGGCACCAAGAATTATCCTCATGGCTTCATTCTGTACTACGTCAAGTTTGTCCAACACAGAGGAGGGGAAATTAATTAAGTGCAAAGCATTATAATCAACGAGAGATCTAACAAACATCATATAGAATAGTCTTGCATATTTAATATTGATACCAATATTCTTACCAGTAAGTGTTCTCAATGGT